ATTAATGTACCTAGGTGTGATTATAATGTTTGCTGGGGAAAAAGTTATACTTTTTAAATTCAAATGGGTATTATGTTTCTATAGCTTATATAGTTTTGATGATGAAGAAAAGAAGCAGCGACACCCCACACCAAGTCAGCGAGCCTGACCACCTGATCCCGTTAGTCGCCTCTTGCGACAAGCATAATCACCTTTTACGGCGCGCATGGGTTGCTGAAGACCTATTCTACCCCGGAACCTTCACAGGTCGGTTACAAATGTATACACTCGGTGTCGGTGATGAAAGGGTGTTCAGGAGTCTGCATGCTGCATGTGGTCTTTCTCTCGCATGCTGTCGTGGCTATACGTTATATATGCCGCTACACTATTGTTTAAATACAAGGTATCCCGATGTTTGTTTTTCTGGTACTTCTTGGATTTAGGCGGTTTGTCGTCTAAGGCGCCACAATACGCTGTGCAAAGTTGCGTGCTTTGGCACGCCAGAAACCTATGATTGTGGGTTCGAATCACGGTTCGCCCCGATTATGTTTCTAGGTTTGTCAGCACCATACCCGTGCTCGTGGGTTTCACCGAAGTGGTAAACGTCTGAGACCTGCATCACTTCGGGCTTTCCCCCCACATTAAGCTGACACGCCGTGATATAACTGGAATACTGTTAAAAGCGGCGTTAAACTCCACTCACACACAGTATTCATTTCACCACTAATAGAAATACTAGCATCAATCACTTTATTAAATATCCCCTATGCGGAGAGGATTTTTGTATTTTGGAACCCCTCCCTTTTAAAAATGCCGAGTCCTTTCTTGTATGTGAGAGGGGATATCAATAGATTTGAGCCTAGCATACATATAACTGAATTATTGTCCTGGGTTTAAATTATTTTTCATTCCCTTGCAATGCCATACATTTTCAATCTCGTTAGTTTCCAAAGTTAGTTTCCCCTGTTTAGTGGGAGGTCAAAGCCTGGTCTGTCGACCAGCTGCCACCTTCCGATTGATAGACTCGCACAAAATCCTTAAATGTGTTGGCATAATAGTCACCATTCATAGCTCTTTCCTGTGAGTAAAGATCTATGTGCATTATGCCTTGGCTGACCCACAGGAATGTGGCCATGACTCTCTTAGTGAATCTTGGGTCCGTTCCTCAAAGCGATCATGCGGATTCTTAACCAGATTGAAACCAAACTCAATGACCTTTATCGCTAGCAAGATTCGTATTTCTCGAAAAGCGCCCTTTGCAATTTTTGTAATTGCTGTAATTAATATTCCTTATCGGAGAAACGGCTTCTTTTCACTTCATAAGTATAAGCACACATGAAGCTATCTTCGTTAATTAATCATGGCGATATTTCGTGATTCTAGTTCAAGTGGCTCCACTATATACTACTTATGCCAGGCTCTAAACGTTCTGATATCCCCAGTATCTACTATTATGTTAATACGCTCGGTCCTGTATTCATTCTTTATTTTAGACTGTTCTTATGGCTTTTCTTCTTCATTTCATTTGACTACTCTGACTTTCGCTTGCCACACAGAAGACCCGGGTTCGATTCCTTTTCGAGCCAATTCTAGCTTGTGTCGTGAATATTACGAACCTGCTCTGGAACAGGAAATCCGCGGTGTGAAACAATTCAGGGACAACTGCTATGTACATAGTTTGGGCTGACTGACTGACTGACTGACTGACTGACCGACCGACCGACCGACCGACCGACCGCCTGACTGACTGACTGACTGACTGACTGTCTGACTGACTGACTGACTGTCTGACTGACTGACTGACTGACTGACTGACTGACTGACTCACTGAATGAATGAATGAATGAATGAATGAATGAATGAATGGCTGGCTGGCTGGCTGGCTGACTGAATAAATGAATGAATGAATGAATGAATGATCGAATGAATATCTCCCATGTATTGGTGTTGACGTCAATGGGCACATCAACCTACACATCAAACTGCACACAACACATCACGCAACACATCATCCAACACATCACACAACACCAGGGTATGAAACTCCCAAAAATGTCAGCCAGACCACAGGACTGGCTAGCTGAAATACTTGCCAGCCCTGACCAAAACCTGCCTGCCCACTATAATCATATGTTTCTCAGGCTAAGCTAACTGGGTTTCTTTTTGGTTACATTTTATCATTCATCTTTACATGTGAATTAATGATTATCATCGGGAAATATTTAGAATATTGTCACATATGAAATATAACCCGACCGTCGGGCAGGGGGATTTGAAAATCTGGCAGCCCGAGTTGAAATCAACCCGTCTCGGACGGTCGGGCAGGCAGGTATTTCGAACACTGACAACACATTACATATGACATCGCACAACACAGCACACAACACAACCCACAGTACATCACAGAGCACATAACCCCACACATCACAGTACAAAACACAGCACACAACACACCCCACATCACACAACACATCACAGAGCACATAACCTTACACATCACACAACACAGCACACATCACAGCACACAACACAGTGCACAGCATAGTACATCACACAACACATCACACAACACACCCACATCACACAACACTCAACACACCCACATCACACAACACACCCACATCACACAACACACCCACATCACACAACACACCCACATCACACAACACACCCACATCACACAACACAGCACGCGGCACAGCAAACAGCACAGCAAAAACACATCACAGAACACAACACAGCAAACAACATATCACAGTACACAACACATCAAACAACATATCACAGTACACAACACACCAATCAACATATCACAGTAAACAACACAGCAAACAACATATCACAGTACACAACACAGCAAACAACATATCACAGTACACAACACAGCAAACAACATATCACAGTACACAACACACCAAACAACATATCACAGTACACAACACACCAATCAAAATATCACAGTAAACAACACAGCAAACAACATATCACAGTACACAACACAGCAAACAACATATCACAGTACACAACACACCAAACAACATATCACAGTACACAACACAGCAAACAACATATCACATTACGCAACACAGCAAACAACATATCACAGTACACAACACAGCAAACAACATATCACATTACACAACACAGCAAACAACATATCACAGTACACAACACAGCAAACAACATATCACTGTACACAACACAGCAAACAACATATCACAGTACACAACACAGCAAACAACATATCACAGTACACACAAAGTAAACAACATATCACAGTACACAACACACCAAACAACATATCACAGTACGCAACACAGCAAACAACATATCACAGTACACAACACACCAAACAACATATCACAGTACACAACACACCAATCAACATATCACAGTACGCAACACAGCAAACAACATATCACAGTACACAACACAGCAAACAACATATCACAGTACACAACACACCAATCAACATATCACAGTAAACAACACAGCAAACAACATATCACAGTACACAACACAGCAAACAACATATCACAGTACACAACACACCAAACAACATATCACAGTACACAACACAGCAAACAACATATCACAGTACACAACACACCAAACAACATATCACAGTAAACAACACAGCAAACAACATATCACAGTACACACAAAGTAAACAACATATCACATTACACAACACAGCAAACAACATATCACAGTACACAACACAGCAAACATCATATCACAGTACACAACACAGCAAACAACATATCACAGTACACAAAACAGCAAACAACATATCACATTACACAACACAGCAAACAACATATCACAGTACACAACACACCAAACATCATATCACAGTACACAACACACCAAACAACATATCACAGTACACAAAACAGCAAACAACATATCACATTACACAACACAGCAAACAACATATCACAGTACACAACACACCAAACAACATATCACAGTACACAACACAGCAAACAACATATCACATTACACAACACAGCAAACAACATATCACAGTACACAACACAACAAACAACATATCACAGTACACAACACAGCAGAGTACACAACACACCCACATCACACAACACAGCACGCGGCACAGCAAACAGCACAGCCAAAACACATCACAGAACATAACACAGCAAACAACATATCACAGCACACAACACAGCACACAGCAAACAACATATCAGACAGCACATCGCACTGCAAATCGCACTTCACACCACATCACACTGCACAGCCTACATCACCCAACACATCACGCAACACATCATACTTCACACAACACATCACACAATACATCCTAAAACACATCACACAACACGTCCCACATCACACAACACAGCAATCAACACAACACACATCACATCACACAACACACAACACATCACACAACACATCACACTGCACATCACACAACACACAACACATCACACAACACATCACTCAACACAACACACAACACAGCACACTGCACAGCACTCAATGAATGAGTGAATGAGTGAGTGAGTGAGTGAGTGAGTGAGTGAGTGAATGAATGAATGAATGAATGAATGAATGAGTGATTGAATGAATGAATGAATGAATGAATGAATGAATGAATGAATGAATGAATGAATGAATATCTCACATATATTGGTGTTGTCGTCAATGTGGCAGACGAAGTTGACCAACGCGGATATGTAAATATAGATAGAGAATCACACTCAAATATATCAAGACAAGTTGATAAAAGTGGAAAATCTCTGATGCTTGCCAAGCGATTTCTCCTGTGGGAGCCAGTTTTGGATGGTAAACATAAAGAAAGGACACGCATGCTTGGAATTGTATCCGTCATAATCTCATTGATTGAGAACCCAGTTTGTTGCTGCATGGGTCTATGGGCAGTTCTCTTAGCTTCTATTAGTACAAGGTAATTATCTGACGTCTTTGGTTGGCATTGGCTGGTGTTAATTTCCTGGGGGTCAATACGTCGACCCACGCATTTTCATATGCTTATAGTTCTTTGTGTGATGTGGATGTGGTATTGACGTTAGCTTTTATATTCATAGTAAACATCTGTTGGTTCATGCATGTATAAAGCCTCGCTGTCTAACTTTGATATTTCTTGATTGGCCTGACTTCGCTGCTTCTCTGTAAGTACTTAGATTCCAAGGAGAACCATGTTCTTACTACCATATACACAAAGGTGATCACTTAAAACAAGTAAACCTTTGGTGTTTTTAGTGTCTTTTATTGAAATAACGCGATTGTTGATTGTTGTTTGCGTCAACGAATTACAAGTCATGTGAGATTAGAGGTGATACGTGTTGAGCTTCGCGTTCAAAAATATTGCACATATATAACGACATGCATGCTCGTGAGTGTGTGGCTACTTGTCCGGACTAAAGCATAGTGCTATCTCACTGAGATGTCAAGCTGAAGTTTAACCTGGACACCCCACTGTATACTGACTCCGAGCCGACCAGTCCTGGTTTTATCTCCTTAATGCCGAGCGCCAGACAGGGTAAGAACAAGCACCATCTTGTAACGTCTTTTGGCATGACGCCACCGGGGATCGAACCCCGGAAGTTCCGCTCCAAGGACGGACGCTCTACCACCGAGAGTCTGTAAAATTGTGGCCGAAGGTATATTTCATATGTCGCAAAAGATAATTAATAATTCCGCCGGACCTTTTAACATCTTTTGAATCTTATCCATGACAAGCGCAACACTGAACGAACTTTATTTTGCACTGATAGGTCCTTTTAAATACTGCAGTTTGTAACATAGGTTTGCTTCATTACATGATCACAGTGGTACGAGAAATGGATTTAGTCTTAGTATTTCAGTCACAGTTCTATTTTCGCTTCGACAGTTGGACTACGGAGTCCCACTTTTATGGATGCTGTGCTATGGAACAAGCAAAAACCTTTTTTAATTTTTCAGAGAGTTTTAATTGCAAATTGACAATGCAGTGACCAAATATGAATTAATCGTTTTTATGAAAAAAGTTAATTGTATCGTATAATGTTTCAAAAGTAGAGAAGAAGTCACAGAATACTCGATTTTTTCATATGACTGTAGAAAATCAGTCAGCAAGTGACACATCACACAGAAAATCACCAAAAGCATCACACATCACATCACCCGACACATCACACAGCACATCATCATGTACATCACACATCTCACAATACATCACACAACACATCACACAACACATCACACAAATCACCCTATACATCACTCAACACATCATAAAAAACATAACACATCACCCAACACATCACCCTATACATCATCAAATGCATAACACATCTCGCAATACATCACCCTACATATCAACCGACACATCATCAAATACTTCACACATCCCACAAAAAAACAAAACAACACATCACCCAACACATCACCCTATACATCATCAAATGCATAACACATCTCGCAATACATCACCCTACATATCAACCGACACATCATCAAATACTTCACACATCCCACAAAAAAACAAAACAACACATCACACAACACATCACCCTATACATCATCAAATGCATAACACATCTCGCAATACATCACACAATACATCACACAAAACATCACCCAATACATCACACGACCAGCACACACAACAAATCACCCTACACATCACTCAACACATCATAAAATACAAAACACATCACACAACACATCACCCTTCATATCAACCGACACATCATCAAATACATCACACATCTCACAATAAACCAAACAACACATCACACAACACATCACCCCACGCATCATACAACGCATCATCAAATACATAACACATCGCGCAATACATCACACAACTCATCTCACAACACATCACACAACACATCACACAACACATCATTAAATACATAACACATCGCGCGATACATCACACCACACATCACACAACACATCACATAACACATCACACAACACAATGCAGAGCACACCACACAACACATCACCCTATGCATAATAAGATATATAAAACATCTCACAATACATCACACAACACATCGCACAGCACATCACTCTACACATCATCAAATACATCACACAATGCATCACACATCTCACAATACATCACACAATACATCACACAAAACAACATCCAATACATCACACAACACATCGCACAACACATCACTCTACACATCATCAAATACATGACACATCTCACAATACATCACCAAACACATCAACCAACACATCACACTACACATCACACATCACATCTCACAATGCATCACTCAACACATCACATCTCACAATTCATCACCCTACACATCACACAACTCACCACCCTACACCACACACTACACACCACACCATATATCACATCTTACAATACATCAACCGACACAACACCCTACACATCACCCTAGACATCACACACCTCACCACCCTACACATCACACTACACATCACCCTACACATCACACTACACATCACACCACATATCACATCTCTCAATACATCACTCAACACATCACGCATCACAATACATCAACCGACACATCACCCTACACATCACCCCACACATCACACACATCACCACCCTACACATCACATAACACATCACCCTACACATCACACAACACAATGCACAACACACCATACCACACATCACCCTATACATCATTGAATATATAACACATCTCACAATACATCACACAACACATCGCACAACACATCACACTACACATCACACAACAAAACACCCTACACATCACACATCACATAACACATCACACAACATATCACACAACACAACACCCTACACATCACACTACACATCACACAACACAATGCACAACACACAACACATCACCCTATACATCATTAGATATATAACACATCTCACAATACATCACACAACACATCATTAGATATATAACACATCTCACAATACATCGCACAACACATCACTCTACACATCATTAGATATATAACACATCTCACAATACATCGCACAACACATCACTCTACACATCATTAGATATATAACACATCTCACAATACATCACACACCACATCGCAAAACGCATACTCTACACATCAGTAGATATATAACACATCTCACAATACATCACACAACACATCACACAACACATCGCACAACACATCACACAACACGTCACCAAATGCATCACACAACACAATGCACAACACATCACACAACACATCACACAACACATCACACAACACATCACACAACACATCACCAAATGCATCACACAGCATATCCTCAAGGGCATCAATCCAGGACGATGACCAGTCGACTCATTAACCTGCATGTACAGTTATCAACTTGGTTTCTCTGGGGTCTTTGTCACGGATAATGGACGTCTTTGACCGTTGCAGATACCGATTGACGATGAAGGATGTGTCGGTGGTGGTGGTAGTGGTGCTGTTGGTGACATCAGTGGCGTGGTCTGCATCTTTGTCTAATAGCGGTAAGTGTTCGTATGATACGTACTGAGTAGAAGGACAGACAGTCTCACACGGTTCAATATTCACAAACCAAAGTCATTGTGTCATTAAAAAACAAAGAGAATCGATCCAAATAATTTACAACAGTGGATAGAAATTTTAGTGAGTGAGTGAGTATGGTTTTACGCCGCATTTAGCAATAACATCATGCAATGTCACGGCGGGGGACACATTGTACCCATATCGGAAATTGATCCCGGGTCTTCGGCGTGACGACCGAACGCTTTAACCACTAGGCTACCCGACCGCCCCTTATCCAAACAATGAACTGTACTGGAGCATAGTCAGCACTCAAAGAATACTTCCACGTGGTTTTATTTTTTAAAACATAATTTGAACAACTGTTGATGGGTACCTTAAACGTCTTATACTTGAAAATCAAAATTACCCAGCCATAGATTACTTTTCACAACCTGTCGAAGGAATGAGGGATGGTTAAATAGCCATAATCAAATGTGATAACACTTCATTCCTTTACATAACAAACACACACTTTCTTTTGTCCCTCAGTTTAGTAACAGTACTAGTAGTGTTGACGTGTTAGAGTATCTTCAAATCAAGTTACAGGTAATACATATATACTCAGAGACAAAAGTTACTTAAACAGGCTTAACATGAAATACTTATTTGAATCTGGAAAAATGTTTACCAAAAAGCACGAAGAAACACAACCCATCAAATGTCGCTGTCGTGCTTTTTTTCAAGAAATGAGGAATATTCAGGAGGAATTGCTGCAAACGTTCTCTATAAAAGTCCAGATAAATAATTCCATATCAGTGCCACTCTCAACAATCTTCCTAAGCGCAGAGATAAGAAAGTTACCTATTTTGATCTTTTGAAGAGATTTCACATGAGAGGTAAAATGACAGATGGAGCGCTACGGGAATGCTTCAACCCTGTTCTCCACAGCGTGACGTCGCACGTCAAGTCAGCGTCCACTGTGACACCATATGTCACGCACGGCGACGTCAAGAGCAGAACCACCTCGGCGGAGTTGTGGCCGCCCACCCGATCACTTTGGAGGTGGTTGCGTTAAGATCGGGGGTGGAATAAAAGTTCTGATAAACAATCCCATTCAGCTAGATGTATTGCTGAGTGCGGGGCTAAACACCAAACAAATACTACTACTACCACTACTGCTACTACTGCTGTTACTAAAACTGTAAGTACCACTAACTACTACTACTACTACTACTACTAATTCCACAAATACTACTGATAGTTGGGGCACTGGTGGCCAAGTCGTCTAAGGCGCCGCGAGCGCTGTGCAGAGTTGCGTCCCTTGGGAACGCCAGAAACCTATGATTGTGGGTTCGAATCCCGGTTCGCCCCGATCATGTTTCTAGGTTTGTCAGCACCATACCCGTGCTCGTGGGTTTCACCGAAGTGGTAAACGTCTGAGACCTGCATCACTTTGGGCTTTCCTCCCACATTAAGCTGACACGCCGCGATATAACTCTAATACTTGTTAAAAGCGGCGTTAATCCCAACTCACTCACTACTGATAGTACTTCTACTGCTGCTGCTATTACTACTCACGCTACTTCTACTAGTAGTAGTTCCTGTAGTACACCGTTTCTAAAACCATTATCCGCTGCTTTCTGTTTGAGTTCTATCACTTTGTCCTTTCCAGTTGAAGAGCAATGTTCACCAGCATGTGATGAAGGAGAGGAATGCGTCAGGGGAGAGTGTCAAGCAGGTAGGGAAATGACAGGTTTCACACATTGTACCCATATAGGTGAGGTGAAATGGGGTTTAACGTCGCGTCCAAGATTATTGCACTTATATAGCGACGTGCATGTACGTGTGTGTGTTTGTGTGACTGCTTGTACTAGTCCGGACTGATGCCGATTTATAGTGCTATCTCACGGAGATACCATGCCGCAGTTTAACATGAATACCCCACTCAGACACAGTATACTGACTCCGAGCCGACTAGTCCTTGCTTTAGCCCCTTAATGCCGAGCGCCAGACAGGGTAACAACAAGTACCATCTTTTCACGTCTTTTGGTATGACGCGGCCGGGGATCGAACCCCGGACCTTCCGCTCTCCAGGCGGACGCTCTACCGCTAGACCACGGACCATCGACATCGCGGGTTATCTGACAACAATGAATCAGTTTATTGTGTACACTAGGAATGTTCCAGGTGACTGTACTGCAAAAGCAAAACTAAAAAAGAACAAGATTTGAGTATTGTGGTGACTGCTCTGTAACTGCTGACTGTGTATGTGTTAAAATGATATAAATATGTATTAATATGTGTATATGTGTGTGTGTTTATATACACAAAGAAAAAGGTTGCCCACACCCTAATATATTTCATTATTGTTTAGTCCCAATTATTGTAACAGTCATGAATGATATACTTACGGGAAGAATCGAGATGATGTAATCAGTCATGCAACGTTTACATATTTCCTTAAGCTCAGTTATTCCATGACACTGTGTGACCATGGCACGAAGGCGATTATCAAACACCACAAGATGGCAAATAATCGGCATGCATAACGCAGGAATGTCTTCTAATGCCATTGGTCTGAATTTGGGGTATGATCGCACTGTCGTAAGCCGTTTAGTCGAGAAACATGCTCAGACCGGTGATGTACAGGGACGTCCCAGATCCGGAAGACCTCCAGTGAAGACACATCGCGAAGACAGGGACCTTCTTCCTCTCATACGCCGAGAAGCCTTTTTAAACAAGTACTCTTCTGAAACGGCTGCGGTTACCCAATCGTCGTTTCTGCACCAGAACCGTCAGGAATCGGCTGAAAGCAGCGAACTGAGGGCTAGACGAGTCATAAAGCGTCCCTTGTTGAGAGATCACCACAAAGCTGCTCGTTTAGCATGGTGCATTGCGTCCTTCCTCATTTTGACATCCAACCTCTTGCTACTCGACTTCAGAACATGGGTGTCAATGCCAGGCCTCATCGTTCGCATGCAGTCGTAGATTACATGAGGGCCAATGCAATGACGACTCTACCCTGGCCAACAATAAGCCAAGATTTGAACCCCCTTGAACATGTTTGGGATATTCTGGGGCGGCTCATACAGGCACGAGATCCTCCTGTACACGATTTACTCCAATTGGAAGTAGCATTGCATCAGGAGTGGTTGTTGTTGACCCATCAACAGATCCAACGTCTGACTGGAGGCATGAGACGTAGGGTGGAATGTGTCATCCGGGCACGTGGCGGTTATACCCCTACTGATCTGTTTCACGTGTTATGTCAAGTAGAGACTTTAAGGAACATTTTCACATGAAACATCGAACGTAGCTCGTTTACTTAATCATGCAGCTACATACTTTTTGTAAGTATTGTCTGAGGTCAACAACAGTACCTGTGTTACCATGATGTTTATGTCAGTAAATTTCAATCACAACTCACCAATGTCTTCTTTATTTGTTGTCAAATGTTTGTTCTATCCGATGACATTGGTATCGCCCAGCTCCTGTCATCACATGCCATGATGTTTGCCATTTGGCATGGTTCAGAAATAGGGGTGTGCTTAACTTTTTTCTTTGTATATATATATATATATATATATATATATATATGTGTGTGTGTGTGTGTGTGTGTGTGTGTGTGTGTGTGTGTGTGTGTGTGTGTGTGTGTGTGTGTGTGTGTGTGTGTTTATATACACAAAGAAAAAGGTTACGCACACCCTAATTATAGTTTGGTCCCAATATTTGTAACAATCATGAATGATAATTATAATTACGGAAAGAATCGAGATGTAATCAGTCATGCGTGACGATAGCTCACGTGTCAAGCACGGTGTGCCCGTGCAAAATGCTACCCTCGAGTATCCCTAAAAGCAGTATATTCAAAAGTTAACATTGTTTTCTTAAGAACATAGTTCTTTCATTTCTGGACATTCGTCGAACTTGATGACGTCGTAAATTAGAAGACATTATTTTTGAGAGGGGGAAGTGTCTTCTGAATTGTCCCCCATAGATGTAGCTTGGCAACGAAGGTAAACACAATGATCGCATCCAAAAGCGGTAAAGATATGACAATCGGTTTGGGGAGAAAAGGTGCAGGTAATCGACATGTAAATTGTGAAAATATCTGGGTAATACCAAACTTAAATCCCTGATAATAAAATGGACACGTTCGAAATTACCGAGGTCGGATTGTATTAAAGGAGTCATCATTCTTAAAATACGGTTAAATATTTTTAAAATCTGTACATTTTACTAACATCCTTAAAGATGCTGTACATAATGGTGATATCTCATATAAGAAATACACGAATCGTGGTCGTTGTTTATCGTACAATAAAACACCGTAGGGAGAATAAACCACTCGGGACTGTGCCCTTCATGGTTTATTCTCCCTGCAGCGTTTCATTGAACATTACACAACATCCACTCGTCGTTTATTTCTTAAATATATATGTATGTCTCCATGTCTCTTCCCTTCTTTCTTGGGGGCACGGGTGGCCCAGTCGTCTAAGGCGCCACGATTCGCTGTGCAGAGTTGCGTCCCTTGGGAACGCCAGAAACCTATGATTGTGGGTTCGAATCCCGGTTCGCTCCGATTATGTTTCTAGGTTTCTCAGCACCATATCCGTGATCGTGGGTTTCACCGAAGTGGTAAACGTCTGAGACCTGCATCACTTAGGGCTTTCCTCCCACATTAAGCTGACACACGCCGTGATATAACTGGAATACTGTTAAAAGCGGTGTTAAACCCAACTCGCTCACTCACTCACCCTTCTTTCTTTGTTCTCTTACATATCCTTTTCGTGCCCATTACCCCCTGGTCACGTGAGTTTGTGAGGGCAATGCATACAATCATGGCTCTTCTGTATGTAAACAGTAAACAAATATATTACATATAAATCTAGGACCAAAGTGTCAATCAACAAGAATGATCAAAGATATTTGTTGAGCCAAATCAAAGTGTACAAGGGGTCAGTTACGCGTAAATTCGCTGTGCAGAGATGCGTCACCGTCACGTCTTGCGATCGCCATTCGTTGTACAAATTGTGTGTATACCGCGAGAGCAGAGTAACCTTCCTTTACATATTGGCCGCCCATTCGTGACCAACACGTGTTGCGGGGCAAGCCGAATACCGACTCGTGCCCCTCTCGTGGCCATTTTTGCGACTGGGTTCCGCCTAAACGCAAACGGGCATTGTTGAAAGAATTGCCGACTCGTTGCGTAATCATTCACGTCTATTTAAACACATCGGGACTTACGGTATTTATACAGTATGATTGAACACATTTAACTATATCTAGGGTATATTTTTAAAAGCAAGACATATGTGAAATCAAAAATTATTCCTGAGGGATTCTTTGACTGAGGTACTTGAGATCATACGCGCATTCTGATTGGTTTATCGTATTTTCGCACATAACATTCAACAATAGGGGGACGAGTCTTCTTGTAGGTTACGGAAAGGGGCAAGTGGTGACGAATGATTGGCCTCCGACATCGCTGTTGACTGGGTAGAAATAACTCCTAGTCATGAGGAAAAATAAATCTGCAGTCACCTGATTTTAGAATCTTGTAATACAGAAATAACGCTGTTGTCACCCGATAAGTTTTTTTCGATGGTACACCAGTATAACATGAGTATCACCAGGCTTCTTGCCATAGCCAATACTTCATGGGTTTACCCTTTTGACAGATGGAGGAACGTAGTTTATTCCATACCTGTGAAGTAGTGACGAGGGCTACTTTCTACATCTGTCCCCCGGCGCCCCATGGCTGGAACATTGCCACTACAACTGCGTAAAACACAATTCAGCAACAGCAGTGTGTAACTGGTTACGTTCTAAAAAAGAAATGGAATTTATTTATTTATTTTATTTCAGGTGGGAGAACTTGTTGCAACAATGGCGGTGCCCCTCCGGGAAGGCGCTAATCGACATCCCTTACAAGACAAGCAAGACAAGCAATACAAGCAGCAGTAACGACAGCAGCAACGACAGCAGCAATGACAGCAGCAACGGAAGCAGCAACGGCAGCAAAAACAACACAATCTTGTGAAGAGCTTGTCGTGCGTCTGCCCTGCTGATATCTGTGTCAGCAATAAATGGGTTCAACATACTCAATCCTTTGTTCTTGTTTCGGGCTGGGCCAACTGAGATTATCAAAGATGTTATTGTGCTCGGCAAAACATACGGAGTAATATTTCGGCTCCGTATTTATTGAAAATAAATAACCGTTGAAAGCCGATTTATACATTTTCAAAAAAAGAAACGCAAGCATATGATGAGAATGCTGATTTTCTGTATTCATTAAACATTCAACACTAATGTGGTGTGTAACTAACAAATAAGGCGTGTAACTAATGATGGGTTTTATTAACAAATAAGGCGTGAAATTAACTTGCTGTGTAATTTAATTAAGCATGTAATTAATGGAGCGTGTAATTCACAAATAATGTATGTGGTGTGTAATTAGCAAATAAGGCGTTTAACTAATGGAGTTTGTGATTCATCAATAAAGCGTGTAACTAATGGAGTGTGTTATCCACAAATAAGGCGTGGAACTAATAGAGAGTGTAATTCACAAATAAAGCATGGAACTAATGGGGCGTGTAATTCACAAATAAAGCGTGTAAATAATTGGGCGTGTAATTAACAAATAAGGTGTGTAACTAATGGAGTGTGTAATTAACAAACAAAGCATGGAACTAATGGGGCGTGTAATTCACAAATAAAGCGTGTAACTAACGTGAAGTGTAATTAACAAGTTAGGCGTGTAACTAATGGAGCGTGTACATCACAAATAAAGCATTGAACTAATGGAGGGTGTAATTCAGAAATAAGGCGTGTAACTAATGGGATTTTTAATTAACATACAAGGTGTGAAACTAATTGGGCGTGTAATTAACAAATAAGGCGTGTAACATGTGGGGTGTGTATCAAATATTGTGTGCAACAAATGTGGTTTATTATGAATGGGTCGTGTATCAAATATTGTGTGCAACAAATGTGGTCTATTAGTGAGTGAGTTTATGCTTTACGTCACAATTCGCAATATTTCAGCCATATCGTGATCTATTAGGAATGGGTCGTGTATCATATATTGTGTGCAACAAATGTTGTTTATTAGGAATGGGTCGTGTATCAAATATTGTGTGCAACAAATGTGGTTTATTAGGAATGGGTCGTGTATCAAATATTGTGTGCAACAAATGTGGTTCATTATGAAGGAAAACACATGAGACTTGTACCACATGGGATGTGTAACGAATGGGATACAACCGAAGAATAATTTACTGAAATTATCAGATTAATTAGATTAAACAGACATAAGTACTGCAATGAGAATAAATCCCCGGAACAAACGTGTTCCGTTTGCAAACTATGAGTGCAAACAAAATGTGTGCAATGATAATATTCATTTGTCGAAACAGTGGACAAGCTGATCCTAAAGTCCCAATGGCAAAATTGCAAGCTTTACAATGCGAGTTGTCAGTGATCAATGGTCTGACAGCTGTAGTTTACAAGCTCCTCCACTCTTAATGCCAATCGAATTGACACAATATACAAACTGTCACAGTGCTCCGACATTGATTAACGAACATACTCCAACACATGCCTCTGCTGCAATCATTGGATCTCAAATCAGACCTAGCGCAACGCCAACAGTCACTCTGGGAACAAAGTTACAATTTCGTCAAGTGCTTTTTTAATAGAGAGCTGAAACTTCTATACAGTACAACGTCGTTGTGGATATGTTGCAGTCCTCTGTGTGTGAAAGGGTCGATTTTTGCGAGTGAGACGTAGTGGCAAGAATGTAAAACAATATGCACAACAGACGTGTCCTTATCGCATAGGACATGCGCAACTTAAATAGGTTACGTTTTCGCCACGTTTTAGTGAATTGTTTTACAATTCAAAGGCATTTACAATTCAAGGTGCAGTGTTCTTTGTTCATCATATAAATGTATTATTCTGCGCATAATTCGTGTTCAGTTTCCTTGTCTTCCTAATATTTTTATTTTTCTGCTTCTTTGGTACCTACTGCACTGTAATACAAGAAGTGTCCCTGTGTACAATGAAAGCCCTTTAACTTGGACACCTCGTTCATCGGAGGAATACCGTCAGGAATGTCTACATTCATTCAAAGATAAACTACGTGAAATGTATTAATACCTAGAGGTAAAACATATCCGTGTACCTCATAATTGTTTACGCTAAATGCAAACAAACAAAGGAAAACAGAGTAATTTTAATTTTTAATTTTATTATCAAATGCTTTGCAGAAAAAAAATCATAATTTATTCATTTGCATCAGCAGCTGATTATCTATTTCGCTGAGTGAACATCCAAGTTCATGTTTCAGGAGTTTGGGATGACGCTACACAGTAAAACCGTTTCCCCTCAAATGACATAATACAAATTACAAATCACAAAACTGCAAAGTTGGAAACCATTTTCCCCCTAAACTGAAGAGCACTAAAGAGCAACACGTGCAATTTGACATCATTGTTTGTGATGCTGCCATACTGTCGCCGCTAATGTGAGGTGAGGTGAAATTGGGTTTAACGTCGCGTCCAAGATTATCGCACTTTTATAGCGACGTGCACGCATGTGTGTGTGTGTGTGGCTGCTTGTACTAGTCCGGACTAATGCCGATTTATAGTGCTAGCTCACGGAGATACCACGACGCAGTTTTACATGACTACCCCACTCAGAAACAGCATAGTGACTCCGAGCCGACCAGTCCTTGTTTTAGCCCTTTATGCCGAGCGCCAGACAGGGTAGCAACATGTACCATCTTTTAACGTCTTTTGGTATGACGCGGCCGGGGATCGAACCCTTGACCTTCCGCTCTCCGGGCAGACGCTCTACCACTAGACACTGGACCACAGGTCGGTAATAGTAAATTGAAGTTTGTGTAATAATCTATAATTTGGGAATGGTACCGTCCGAATAAACAGTGTTTCACTGAAGCCATCTTATAACAACGTACACTGATAGGAGCCTGTTATAACCAAGGGACGCAACTCTTCACGGCGAGGTCCGGCGCCTGGTGCCTGTATTTTAGTTAATCATGTTTTGTTAATCAAAAGTGACAGCTGTGTTCATAGCTTTGTTTACGACAGCATCAACACATATGCTACTCCAACGCTGGTTTTATTGATTTACTAGTCAATCTTAGCATCATTGTTAAGTTCTTTCAGTTAAGGGACAAAACCATCAAAGTGTCAATGAAGCACTCAATCAATGGTAATAATGAAATCCGACATGGGTCAGTTGGTGAGGATCATTGAATTAAGAGAGGAAATCAAATATTTCTTTTCGCTGTGAGTTTTTCTGGCATTCTGCAAAACACAGAACACGAGAAGAGCGATCATAGAAATTTCAGGGCCTTAAGCGAAACCTTAAAACCTAGTGAATAATCACAGTCGCTGTATATCAGGATTCTGTGTCCTCCAAGGAATCACAGTCACTGTATATCAGGATTCTGTGTCCTCCAAGGAATCACAGTCGCTGTATATCAGGATTCTGTGTCCTCCAAGGAATCACAGTCGCTGTATATCAGGATTCTGTGTCCTCCAAGGAATCACAGTCGCTGTTTTTGATGTCAAACATGACGCCTTTGCGTCGCTATACTTCCACAGTCAAACATGACGCCTTTTACTTAACTTTACTTCCTCGTGTCAAACATGACGCCTTTTACTTATCTTTACTTCCTCGTGTCAAACATGACGCGTTTTACTTATCTTTACTTCCTCGTGTCAAACCTGACGCCTTTTACTTATCTTTACTTCCTCGTGTCAAACCTGACGCCTTTTACTTAACTTTACTTCCTCGTGTCAAACATGACGCCTTTTACTTAACTTTACTTCCTCGTGTCAAACATGACGCCTTTTACTTAACTTTACTACCTCGTGTCAAACATGACGCCTTTTACTTAACTTTACTTCCTCGTGTCAAACGTGACGCCTTTTACTTAACTTTACTTCCTCGTGTCAAACATGACGCCTTTTACTTATCTTTACTTCCTCGTGTTAAACATGACGCCTTTTACTTATCTTTACTTCCTCGTGTCAAACATGACGCCTTTTACTTATCTTTACTTCCTCGTGTCAAACATGACGCCTTTCAGTTTTCACTCCTATGTCGACCCCTGTTTACTTATTGATATGAACATTCCGCGTTCTCTTTCGACACACTTTCCTGTCAATCCAACTACTGGTGTTATCACAATGTTCTAGTCTCTCCAGTGAATATGTCCGCAAATCAAATTCGCATTTATATTTAAATTATTTTATAAGCTGTCAATATGCTAAGTCAACACTATTGTATAGCTAAGGCGGCACCAGAACTCGCCTTCAGGGGCATGCGCCCGCAAAGCATGCCGAGACTCACGGTTAAAGCAAAATGTCACCATGGCTTGTTCAATAATGTGCATGTCATATGTTCGCTATAGATCTCTAAGTATTAGGACAGCTGTGTTGTTGTGTAATGTTGTCAGAAAAATCAAGAATTCAACAAGTAGTAATCCACAAATCTATGACATTTGTTTAAAATTCCAAAATATGCCAACTCAAAAAAAAAACAAAAAAAAATATTAGAGAGAGAATTAGACTGCAGCAGGACAATTCCCCTCACGAAGTAATAATTCTGTTTGTTTTTTACAGAGGTTGACATTTGTTGGGAGAGAAAATAAAACGGTCGTAAACCGTTTATGGTAAGATTAGTTTGAGGTATTCCTTGTACGTGTACAGCGGCGCAGTATGCCTCTCTACAGACCTGTGTCATTGTCTTTTACGGTGTCAATTCCAATTTGAAACATATCTATGACGTCACGCCTCCTTTTAAACGATCCATTATTCTTTCACGAAGGTACAGGTGGTTGTCAATTATCCATTTTTAAATTATGATGATGATATCACGCAATTGTTCTTGCAGTTGGCTCTGAGCCAGAAATTCACCGGCCGTTCTGAACGGGCATTTTAAACAAGAAGAACTGATGCTGTAGGTCATTATTCAAAATAATAGAGAAATTTTACAGTCAAGTCTCGTTAATCCGACATTGTTGGTTGCATATGATTGTGTCGGATTAACGAGTATGTCGGATTATCAATAACATACTTATACCATAACAAGGTTTTTAGGTCTGACGTCACGCCGAAGATCTGGGTTCGATTCCCGACAGGGGTGCAATGTGTAAGCCCATTTCTGGCGTTCCCTGATATTGCTCATATTGCTGGAATATTTCTAAAAGCGTCGTTAGACCTTGTCACTCACTCACTCATTTTAAGACTAAGAAATCAGTCGAATTTAGTTTCTGATGGTTTCTCAATTACCCACAATACCTTGAACCCACATAAACATTAATATTAACGGCACTAGTGTTTAGTTTGACACTCAAGTGAATGCTTTCACATTTTGTTCGAAAATATTTGCCTCCAGGGAGCTTTAACCCGTTTTGATGACGTGTAATCGCCAACCTCAGCAACGGCGAAATAGGATCACAAAATGGTATGACATAAACTATAGGTGGGTAAGGTGAAATGTGGTTTTACGTTATTAATTAGATTATTGCACATGTATAGCGACGTGCATGCACGTGTGTGGGTGGCTGCTTGCTCTAGTCCGGACTAATGCCGATTTTACAGAGCTTGTCCGCTGAGATACCATGCCGCAGTTTAACAAGAATACCCACTCAGACAAAATGCACGGACTCCGAGCCAACCAGTCCTTGTTTTAGGCCTTTAATGTCAGATAGGGTAGCAACAAGTACCATCTTTTAACGTCTTTTGTATGACGCGGCCGGGGCTCGAACCTCGGGCCATCCACTCTCAGTCTAAGGCGCCGCGATTCGCTGTGCAGAGTTACGTCCCTTTGGCACGCCAGAAACCTATGATTGTGGGTTCGAATCCCGGTTCGCCCCGATTATGTTTCTAGGTTTGTCAGCACCATACCCCTACCTGTAGGTTTCGCCGAAGTGGTAAACGTCTAAGACCTGCATCACTTCGGGCTTTCCTCCCACATTAAGCTGACACGCCGTGATATTACTGGAATACTGTCAAAAACAGCGTTAAACTCAACTCACTCACTCACTGTAAGAAGATACCTCCAAAAATATTTATGATCCCTAACATTCTTTGTCCAAGTATATAAAGTACCATAACGCCATATCAAATATCACTAACCTTGCCATGCTCATGCATAACACTTCAGTAAGCAACATTAATACTATTGTTAATATGTCACATCTGGGTTTATACCTTTATAGCCCGAGTGAGGGCCACCAACATTCGATAACAGGCCCTGAACCAGCACGCGCAACACATGCACCATACACAGAGTGTATCATCCGGCGCTACATCGATGGAAGCCTTAATCGAACTGGTGTGGGACATTCTGAACGAGTCCGTTCGAGTATTTCATGTAAGTGTTCATGATCCATGGCCGTACATCTAGTTCCTCCGAGGTAACATGTAGTACAATCGGTTCTACTGCATGACATATGCTCGGGATTTCACGATGTATTTGGAGTGACAGTGAGTTTCCACGGGATTAAAATTAGTATAAGTAAAGATGCGTGCTTTTCGCCGGAGGAGTGTGATGCATTTTCTTTGTGGGATGATTGCTGGGGTCAGTCTAGGGCTTGTTGGGGTGTGCTTGGTGGAAATGGAGGACACGGCTTCTGTGGCGTCTGGTATGCTGCCAGTTGACGTCATGGCGCCCCGAGATGAGGGTCTAAGGAATGAGCATCTTGTCCGAGGTCGAAACCTGTTGAACAGAGGTCCAGAGTTTGCTAAAGGTGAGCAATAACCATCCAGTCGTCACTCTGGCACTTTTACAGTGACCCGGGAAGATCCGGGGTAGAATAGGTCTTCAGTGAACCCATGCTTGCCCTTAAAGGCGACTATGCTTGTCGTAAGAGTCGACTAACAGGATCGGGTGGTCAGGCTCGCTGACTTGGTTGATGGATGTCATCGTATCCCGATTGCGTGGGTTGATGCGCATGATTTCAATCACTGGATTGTCTGGTCCAGACTCGATTATTTTTCAAACCGCCGTCATATAGCTGGAATATTGCTGAGTGCGACGTTAAATAACAAACAAACAAACAAACAATTTTTTTACCGTTACCACTAATATAATGTCGATTGTAATCACCCCTCATCCTCCAACATATTAATAGTACAGTTTTCACGACTTTAGAGAACAATTATTTTAAATTCACATTAAATTAAGTTCAAACGGATTCAGGATTGCTATTACCTTCATGTCGTGACTGTAACAGTCACGAAGCCTCCCCTGTTGTGTAAACTACCGGGCAAAAGAAAGTATACTCTTGAAATATGGATTTGACCAAAACTTTACAATCTTTATCAAACGTTAATAGGCTGACAACAGTCGCTGTAACACTGCAAACGTAAGGTCCAAAAAAACACAACCATAATACTCGTATCAAATACATCACCATCGAATAATCATTTCTTGTCTGTTTTATTTTTAGCCACCATTTATTATGGGTGTACACTTTCTTTAGTCTGGCAGTATATATAGGCTTATCTAAAATCCTTTGAATCATCAACAAATTTCTCATTTACTGGAACCACAGCTGAAGTTTCTGAGTCTAAAATTCATACTAAGTCATATCCATAGGTTCTTATATCATTGAACATACGCTTTTTTATACTGATTGCTAGACACATGCTCACGATATAGTCGGAATCGTATGATCGACCCTGCGTTTAGAAGAGGCATGGAAAGGGTTTTGACGCTTTTATTTATCTTACTTTGGGCGTTTTATAAACCAAATGGTATGTGTTTTCCTGGTGCACCATGGTTATGGCAACTTTAACGGTATTTGGGACATTTTAGACTGAGAAATTGTGCTTACATATGGAATCTCGACATGCCAAGTGCATAACCATTCGTGACCAACTCGTGTGATTCCGGGACAAGCCGAATAGCGACTCGTGCCCCTCTCGTGTCCATTTTTGCGACTGGGTTCCGTCTAAGGGCAAACGGGCATAACCTAATGAATTGTCAACTCGTTGCGTAATGATTCACGTATATTTCCCATAGGTCATATATATTCCAGATGCCATTTGAGACACATCGGGACTTAAGGTATTATACAGTATCATTGAACACATTTAACAGTTAGTTGGGTAAATGTTTAGATGCAAGAGATATGTAAAATCAAAAAGTATTCCTGTGGGATTCTTTAGCGGAAGTACTTGATGTCAGACGCTCATTTTGATTGGTTTGTCGTATTTTCGCACATAACATTTATCGATAGAGGGGCGAGTCTTCTTGCGGGTTACGGAAAGGGGCGAGTGGTGACAAATGGTGCATAACAAGGCCTCGCGCAAAGACTGGATACCCAAAATATAACTGAACTGTGGCGACATGGACAGCATAAAACTACGTGAGCTCATACCATTAACTAACATATTTTGACGATGTTCATACCGGTTATCTTAGAACATACTGATATATTCTAAAACATTTAATTTCATTGCCATGGGGTAGCCTAGTGTTTAAGTGTTCGCTCGTCATGCCCAAACCCCGAGTCTGATTCCCCACGTGGGTACAATGTGGGAAGCCCATTTCTGTTGCCCCCCCGCCGTGATATTGCTGGAATAGTGCTAAAAGCGACGTAAAATCATACTCACTCACTTGTTAATTCCTAAACACGTTCAGATTAAACTTTCATACCGTTTAGGATTTTAAATACATTTCTAAACGCGTTAATGAATAAACATATCTGGCACGCGTGTAACACCTAAACACAGTGTTTACACTGAAGACTGAGATTATTTTGAAAGAAGTGTTAAACTAAACTCACTATCGCCTTTATATTTGCCGCACGATGGAAGATATATTTGCACACAGCTGTCACCAGATATGCACTATTAAAGCTGAATTGTATTTGGTGACATGCTATGGGTATACATGACTGTAATATCATTAGCGTATTGAACAGCGCCAGTCAGCTGTTGGTGTCAGTCAGCCTTGGCGCTACCCAGTAGGACTAGGCTCGAGCAGGGAGTCAGTCATAGTTTGTTTGTTTGTTTGTTTGTTTGTTGTGTAAAGCCGCACTCAAGGTCTTTCAATGTCTTAATATTACTACGTTAAATTATAAAATTTGTATTACTGAGAGCTGTGTTAAACACAAACAAGCAACGCCGGGTCATGTTAACTACATAAACACCCCTTTGATCAGCCTCTGATTTGCGTCCGCACTCAGCAATATTCCAGCTATATGACGGCGGTCTGTAGTTAATCGGGTCTGGGCCCGAAATCCAGTGAATGACATCATGAGCATCGATCCACGCAATTGGGATACTATGGCATGCATCAACCAAGTCGGCGAGCCTGACCATCCGATCCCGTTAGTCGCCTCGTAAAACAAGCATAGACGCCTTTTATGGCAAGCATAGTCGCCTTTTATGGCGAGCATAGTCGCCTTTTATGGCAAGCATAGTCGCCTTTTATGGCAAGCATAGTCGCCTTTTATGGCAAGCATAGTCGCCTTTTATTGCAAGCATAGTCGCCTTTTATGGCAAGCATAGTCGCCTTTTATGGCAAACATAGTCGCCTTTTATGGCAAGCATAGTCGCCTTTTATGGCAAGCATAGTCGCCTTTTATGGCAAGCATAGTCGCCTTTTATGGCAAGCATTGTTGCCTTTTATGGCAAGCATAGTCGCCTTTTATGGCAAACATTGTCGCCTTTTATGGCAAGCAGTGTCGCCTTTTATGACAAGCATAGTCGCCTTTTATGGCAAGCATTGTCGCCTTTTATGGCAAGCATAGTCGCCTTTTATGGCAAGCATAGTCGCCTTTTATGGCAAGCATAGTCGCCTTTTATGGCAAGCATTGTCGCCTTTTATGGCAAGCATAGTCGCCTTTTATGGCAAGCATAGTCGCCTTTTATGGAAAGCATAGTCGCCTTTTATGGCAAGCATTGTCGCCTTTTATGGCAAGCATAGTCGCCTTTTATGGCAAGCATAGTCGCCTTTTATGGCAAACATGAGTTGCTAGGGGCCTAGCCTACCCCGGATCTTCACAGGTCATCAGCCATAGCAAACTCAGTCGAGGTATCAAGGTAGTAAGGGCCTGCTAGACTGGGAATGGTCTGTGTTACATTTCATCATCTCCCGCCTTAAACGGATGCAACTGGAAACACTATAATCTGTGTTTATCTATCATAGAATCAAGGCGTCATATAGACGAGAGATGTGGGTTACATACTTATATACAAAATGCCAAGTGAGGTCGCCCAGTGGTTCAAACATTCGCCCGTCACGCCGATGACACGGGTTGGGTTCCCCACATGGGTACAGAGTGTGAAGCCCATTCCTGGTGTCCCCCGCCCTGATATTGCTCGAATAGTGCTAAAAGCGGAGTAAAACCACATTCACACACTTACCCCTTGCAAATTCTCGTGGCATCCTAAATTGCTGTCATTAAGTCTCCATTCCATTGTGAAGAATAGTTAAAACACCCCGGACATATTCGCCACATGGCTTCCTAGCGGAAGTGACGTCACCACCTCCATTGCTCCACGGCTGTTGATGGGTCCAGGGTATTTATCAAAATTGAATGGAGATATGATACACAACATAATTTTGCCGACATAATTTTGGAGTCGCTGTGGAGACTTGCGTCCCTTGATCACGCCAGAAACCTGTGATTGAGGGTTCAAATCCCGGTTCGCCCCAGTTATGTTTCTAGTTTTGGTATCACCATGCCCAATGTGCTACACGTCTGAGACCTGCATCACTTCGGGCTTTCCTACAACTGGAATATTGTTAAAAGTGGCGTTCAGCCAAACTCACTCAGTCATTAATAGGCATTATGTGTTGTTCAATAAAGGTAGAACACACAAAATAACTACTGACACGGTACCGTCTGGATTAATGGCTTCGCTTTATTTATACCATGTTCTTTGCAGCCAATGATACGGTGGCACGTCATTTAGAGGGGAAGATCCGGGTCCTGTGCTGGATATACTTGCGGCGCACTCAGGAATTCGAGAAGAGACGCAACATCACCATGAACAGCTGGGGTAACAAATGCACAAAGTTCCTCTTCTTCATAAACAACCACAACGACTCTCTTCCCGCAATAGGACTCGACATGGTGGCAAAGTCGGTTCCACTGAGCGACTCGCCGATGATATCGGCTTACCGTTATGTTCATAAACACCACTACAACGACGCTGATTGGTTCTTTTCAGCCGAGCAAATCCCATTCGTCATTATGGAAAACTTACGTCACTTCCTGTCTGACAAAGACCCGGATGAGCCCATATATTATGGTCACCGAATGAAGTCGGTTACGGACGTTCCTGGACTGGTTTATGCAGACAGGTGCGCAGGGGTGATCTTGAGCCGAAAAGGGCTTCACCTTTTGGGGACACAAGGGCCGTCACCGCCCGAATGTAACAGGTTTTTAATACAGTCTGGTCTGCAGTTTGCGAAATGCATGCAGGAAGTTGGTGTTCGATATGGGGAGACTCGAGACTCAGAAGGCAAGAGTCGGATGTTGTTGATGGATATTGGTGTGATGATGTCGGACTACCGGTCAGACCCAGCAACAAATGTAGACGAAGAGGAATCTGATGTGAAGGTAGGGACATTAAGCGGTAATCATGTATAGACGGAACGCGGTCTTTCGTTGCCTTTAAAGAGACCACGCGCCGTTCTTCTTACTATATATAAAAAAGAAAGGCGTTTAACTGAAAAAGTGTCTTGGATTATTTATAGAGATTAGATGTTCCGTCAGCTACATCCGCAAAACCAGATATTTCTTTATTTCAAATTATGTCCCTAAGTTTAAAAACAAAAAAACCCATTAATTTATAGACTTGTGGCCGACATTGTCTTTTTCTTTATCAAGTCAGAAGCATATACATGACATATATGACATATATTTCAAGCATTTTTCTTTTTGCAATATGTAAGGCAAGATTATTTTGAGTGAATGAGGGTGGTTTTACTCCGAATTCCAGTATTCTAGTAACCTCACGGTAGGGGACTAGAAATGAGCTTTACACATTGTACTCATGTGGGGAAACGAACCCGGGTCATCGGCGTGACGAGCGAACCCTTTTACCACAAAGCTACCCCACCCTAAACACGTGAAATGGGCCAGAACCACCGCGCCAGTGCTATTCAAGGTAATTTTCTGGACCACGGTTTAAATCCTGTATCATCAAATGACTTCCATTCTGATTTCAGCCATCCCAGAGCATTAGCAGCAGCCTCATCAGTTTCGGCAGGAGCTATTATCTCAAAAACAGTGGACATCATTTTTTTGTCTACGAACTCATTAAAATCGGCGCTCGGTAGTTTCCGGCAATCTTCGATCAGTCTGAAGGACGAAGGGGTATACATGTCTATTTTAATGGTAAATATGGTGAATCATGTGATTGACGCCGATTATTTTCCATGTTTGTATCCGCGTCGTAGCAAACATTATAGCATTGTATCAAAGATGTATGTTGTGGGATTTTGTACTGCACAAATATGTAAATAAATACGAAAAATGCGTGAGCATGTTATACCTTGTTCATTCTAAAATATTTTACCACCACGCCTTCTTTCCATAACCTCTGAGAACGCCACTCGACTTGTTCCGGAATTACACGAGTGGTCACGAATCGCACATATTTTCACACGAAACACAATATCATTACAACGTCATTCCTAATTACCAGATATTGCAAAGTCTCTTGTGTTGGCTTCCTTATCTGTAAATGAGTGAATTTTGTTTTACGCCACTTTGAACAAAATATGTTAGATTTGATTTAAACATATTTTATTCAGATTGAAATGGATTGGGAACAAGTTATCCAACTTAGGACTCCCTCTCCATAAGATCACGACAGTCAGCTCAAAATGGGAGGAAGGTCCTAAGTGACGCAGGTCTTAGACGTTATCTCCTGAAACCCACGCGCGCGGGTATGGTGCTGACAAACCTAGAAACATATTGTTGATCAGCGCGAATCTTGATTCAAAGCCATGCTCGATAGATACACCTAGAAAGGGTTAAATAACACTCTATCTTTGGTTCTACATAGCCACCCTTCTGTATATATAGGGGAAATAGATTATACTTATTCCTTGGTCTCATTTTTAGAAGGCGATTATGCTTGTAGTAAGAGGCGACTAACGGGTTTGGGTGGTCAGACTCGCTGACTTGGTTGATGCGTTGATTGTCTGGTCCAGATTATTTACAGACCGCCGTCATATAGCTGAAAAATTGCTGAGTGCGGCGTTAAACAACAAACAAACAAGCATTTTTAGACATGCCTTCGATACCACTGACACCTGCTGAATTGTTAACAAGAAAAATGTACAGTGCTGGGCAAAAAAAAGTAACACCCATGTTTGATGGTGGCTAAAATTGAAACAAACGAAAATGGTTATTCGAAGGTAATGTATTTGATACGGGTATCACAGTTGTGTTTTGAACCTTAAGTCTGCACTGTTTCGCCGACGTCTCAGTCTAGTAACGTTTTGATAACGTTTGTAATGTTTTCGTCAAATCCAATTTTCAAGTGTATACTTTCTTTTTCCCTGCTGTTGAGGAACATGAGTGGTGCTTATTACGGCAGATGTCAATAATATATACAAGCGAGTGAGTGAGTGAGTTGGGTTCAACGCCGCTTTTAACAGTATTCCAGTTATATCGCGGCATGTCAGCTTAATGTGGAAGGAGGGCCCAAAGTGATGCAGGTCTCAGGCGTTTAACACTTCGGTGAAACCCACGAGCACGGGTATGGTGCTGACAAACCTAGAAACATAATCGGGGGGAACCGGGATTCGAACCCACAATCATAGGTTTCTGGCGTGCCCAAGGGACGCAACTCTGTACAGCGAATATATACAAGCAAAAGATTGTGTACGAAGAGGAAACTGAGTTCATCATAGGGTTATCTCTGAAGACGTGCCTTTTCAACAGCGATGTCCTATTGTGATACTCTAAATCACGCGTTTCACCTCCAAGTCCACGTGTTAATAGATAACTTGGCTGTACACATGAGGCAGGTACTATTGTATGTTTCATCTCATACAACTGACAGATGGCATTGACAAACTTGGAAGCGAATTGTCTTCCTCTGCCTGTGACTAAAGTTCTTGGAGCTCCGTACATTCTGCAGACCTCTTTCACCACCAAGTCAGCAGGGGCGGTCGGGTAGCCTAGTGGTTAAAGCGTTCGCTCGTCACGCCAAAGACCCGGGTTCGATTCCCGACATGGGTACAATGTGTGAAGCCCATTTCTGGTGTCCCCCGTCGTGATATTGCTGGAATATTGCTAAAAGCGGCGTATAACCTCACTCACTCACTCACTCACTCACTCACTCACTCACTCACTCACCCACTCACCCACTCACCCACCCACCCACCAAGTCAGCAACTTCTGCACTCACTCACTCACTCACTCACTCACTCACTCACTCACTCACTCACTCACTCACTCACTCACTCACTCACTCACTCACTCACTCACTCACTCACTCACTCACTCACTCACCCACTCACCCACTCACCCACCAAGTCAGCAACTTCTGTAGCATCCAGCTTTGTCATTTGGAAACTCTCGATCCATTTTGTAAATGACAAAACCATACTGAAAGCACTAATGACCCGCACGACGATTTCTGTGTTTGTAGTGCCCATGTTGAGATGACATGAAAATATCAATATAAATCAACGGGGATGATGCTACGAACGTGTTTACATATTCTGAGACGAAGAATCTATTGTAAATTAAAATTCTGTTTATAACTGTTTATCTCTTTGAGTTGTCAACACATCTGGGGTTGTATATAAACATTCGGCGTACTATTTCCCCCTGTAGCATATAACAGCGTTTCATGGTTAGTTAAGGAGCAAATATTTAAAGTTATAACAGGACAAAATAAACAGAACATATTATTTGCTCACGGCAATTATATTTTGTTTCCAAATATAAACTAATGATTTTGTATCCAAATACGAACTAATGATTTTGTTTCCAAATATGAACTAATTATGAACTATCGTTGACGAGTGCGCCTATAGTGAGTGAGTGGGTATGGTTTTACGCCGCTTTTAGCAATATTCCAGCAATATCACGGCGGGGGACACCTGAAATGGGCTTCACACATTGTACCAATGTCGGGAATCGAACCCGGGTCTTCGGCCTGACGAGCGAACGCTTAAACGACCGCCCTAGTGCGCCCTTCCAAAAACAAGCAAAAAGTGTCAAAATTTACCAAAGCGCGACATTGCGACAACGCGACATTTTGGCCATTTGTCGCATTGTCGCAGTGACGCGTTGTCGCATTGTCACGTTGTCGCATTGTCGCCCTTCCAAAAACAAGCAAAAAGTGACAAAATTAACCAATAGATGAAACATATTCCGCGTTTCCTCACCTCGCCCTTTTTATATGATTTTGTGCTTCCTACGTACCCGAATTTTCCACGGTCCACCCTTGGTCTCCGATGCTGTATTTCGCTGTATGGAATTTCGTCTCTTGTACTTTCAGGAACCAATGCTTAAGAGACTCCTGGTCTGTTAGCACCATTCTCATGGATTTCACAAAAGTGTACTCTCTTCCCACAGCAAGTTATATCACAGTTATATGACTGAAAAACTGTGCTTAACTGCGCTTATATACTTCTATTCTCAATGTCCCAATTGATTTTACGAACATAACCAGAAAGTGAGTGAGTGAGTATGGTTTTACGCCGCTTTTAGCAATATTCCAGCAATATCACGGCGGAGGACACCAGAAATGGGCTTCACACATTGTACCCATGTCGGGAATCGAACCCGGGTCTTTGGCGTGACGAGCGAACGCTTTAACCACTAGGCTACCCGACCACCCCATAACCAGAAAGGATCCGGGGTAGACCAGGTCTTCAGCAACCCATGCTTGCCGTAAAGGGTCATTACGCTTGTCGTGAGAGGCGACTAAGGGGATCGGGTGGTCAGGTTCGCTGACTTGGTTGATGTTATCGTATCCCAATTCTTATGTTCAATATATTTAAAGTGAAAGTACTTGAAACTTGAAAGTCTTATGTTGGTTGGTTTGTTGTTTAACGCCGCACTCAGCAAAATTCCAGCTATATGACGGCGGTCTGTAAATAATCGAGTCTGGACCAGACAATCCAGTGATTAATATCATGAGCATCGATCCACGCAATTGGGATCGATGGCATGCAGAAGAAAGAAGAAGAAGAAGAAGAAAAATAGTTTATTTAAGTGTCCAGCGGTGTATACATAAAATTACTTCAATTTATACAAGAGGTAAAATATATTAAAAGATATACATCGCCCGGCCAGCGTGGGCCTATTAGACACTAATGTTCTTAAAAGCACCGCAAGTGCTAAAATAGTTATGTTGGACAGTGGTTTATTTGTTAATGGTGCACAAAATACGAGATAAAAGTATAATGCTCGTACATTTATGACAAGCATTGCCATACAATGACATGTTTTATCAAATATAAAATATACAGAGGCATACAATACTGGAATGGGTTTATGACACGTTGTTATATAACCTACGTTTGTACATGGATTTAATTAGTGCAGCTACAGAATAGGATAAATTATCGCACTTCATAAGGAATGTGGTTTGATCTATAGGGGTCATGAGACAAAAATTTGGGCAAAGAGACGAGGCATAACCCCAGACATATTCTCGTTGATCTGCATAAAGAAAACACGTTGTTAAGAAATGAACCTCGTCTTCGATACTGTTTGTATTACAGTGTTTACAAATACGATTATGTAAGGGAATTTTTGGTTTCAAGAAACGACCGAGTTCAATTTCCAGAGGGAGGGTACCACATCTAAATTTAGCAAATATACTACGGTGTTCTCTGTTGGCTAAATCAATGACATATTTGGAGGTACTTAAAGACGTTTTAAACAAACGATATGTTCTTAACTTAATACCATTTGTTAATCCTCTGTCATCCCAGAGCTGTTCCAACCATAATTCCTTATCCTTATTGATGAGTATATTTCTAGCAAGGTCGAAGTCACAAGATAATAGGTTAGTTATAACAGAAGTAATTGATTTCACATCGAATAATTTCTTAACTGAATTATCCCATGACTTACGAAATTTAGATGACCATCTTTGCACTATATGCATTAGCCTGTTTTCATCTGCCAAACTCAGCCTTTTCCAGAAACGTACTATCTCAATTTTTTGCTTTGTATAGTTAGATGACCAGCCCATTTCCCCCCTTACTGCCAAATTAGGTGTTTTGTTGCCTACTCCCAAGAAAAAGCGGCAAGCTCTATTTTGGATAGCGTTAATACAACTAAATTCTTTGGTTCCCCAAATAGCTGAACCATATGATAAAATTGGTTGAACTAAGTTATTGTATAAAGTAGTGAATACATCATAATCCATGCCGCCCACCCCTTTAAACTTACTGATAATTACCCCAAGTGCCCTACTGGCTGATTTAGATATTTCTTTTGCTGTATAATTCATATCTAAGTTTTCATGTAACCAAAGCCCAAGATACTTATATGAATGAACAATTTCTATATTTTCCGCACCACAAGTAAAGTGATAGGATGACTTAACAGAGGATATGTTACGATAATGAACAATTTTTGTTTTTTTGCTATTTATTTGAAGGCGCCATTTCTTGCACCAATTGCCGACACAGGTTAACATTGATTGTAATGACTTTTCATCGGGTGCTAAAAGAGCGATATCGTCAGCATACAATAAAATACTGATTATAGAATTATCAACCTTTATTCCGCATTTAAGATCATTAATTTCTTTAACTAAATCATTAATAAAAACAGAAAATAGCGTAGGCGACAGAACACAACCTTGTTTTACACCGCTTAATACAGCGAAGCTGTCAGTCATTTTACCATTTATAAAAACCCGAGAGCTATTATTTTCATATAGCGATTTAACTGATCGGAAGAACTTTCCGTTTATTCCCAATCTATGTAATTTATACCAAAGACAGTCGCGATTCACACGATCAAAGGCTTTCATGGCGTCGATATAACAGACGTAAGTTGGGAGTTTAACAGATTTACGGTTTTTGATAATGGAGAATAAAGTATAAATGTGTTCCGTTGTACTTCTTTTAGTGCGGAAGCCGTTTTGCTCTTCTGCCAAAATATCATTTAATTCCAACCATCTAGAAAAACGAGTATTTAAAATATCCGCGTATAACTTACATGGTATTGATATTAAAGAAATTCCGCGGTACCCTAATGGGTCACGTGGGTCTGTATCAGCTTTTTTGATAGGATAAATTAAGCTATGGCGCCAAATATTAGGGCAAACATTGTTGTTAAAACAATATGAAAATATGCGCAATAATGCATCAATACAGTAGTTATTTTTTAATGCCTCGGCAGGTATAAAATCTAACCCAGCAGCCTTACCACATTTAGCACGATTAATTGCATGGAGGACCTCCTCGCGTGTTATAGATGCATCTAAAGAGCCTGTGTCCACAGTGCTGGTACAAGTAACGGAATCAGAAGATACACACTCCACTACGTGATGAAGGTGGTTATCATCGAACTGATCATATATGTCGCCATTGTATAATTTACAATAATCAGATTTCCATTTTTCCAAAACTTTGCCCTTATCAGAGACAACCGTCCCATTTTCCACAACTTCCCAGGGGATAGAAGTACTCCTATCATTAACTATTCCGATTTTCCCGATAGCCTTCCAAAATTCCCTGGAATCCTTATCCTTATATTTATTAAGAAGTGTTTGTTGTTGTTGTCTCTGGTAAGACCGCTTCCGTGCCCGGAGCATTTTGCCAAAAGTTTTACTTTTAGATAAATAGTCACTTTTGAGTGATTTTCTACGAAATGGCGATTTACATTTTAACCAATCACGTTCGGCAGTAGAGACTGTATCCCACTGAGCTTGTAAGGCGTCACACCAGTAAGGTTTGTAAACCGAGTTACCCTTTTTACCAAAATGCTTATATCGGGACACTTCCCCAATCTTATCGAGCTCTGTATACATACAATTCAAAAACTCGTCATATGCAGCGTCAACATCACGCTGGTCACTAAGGTGCGATTCAATCATACCAATGGTATCATTAAGGCGTGAAACGCAATCTTCATTTAACAAAAAATCACCATGAATTTTGCATTGATCATAACGCTTATATTCTTGCTCACTGTAAACAGACAATGGCTCACCAATCATATCATCCCTGGCTGGCAAAGGTAAAGCTATTTCGGACAACAGAACAGAATGATCGGGTACAGCGTCAGGCACATTCGGCCCGGTAATAAGTGATGACATCTTAATTACTTTAAAGTCTTTAAATCTGGCCAAGTCCTCGTGTGCTGTCACCATGTAGTCCACAACTGAGCATCCGTTTTTAATGTAGGTAAAATCCTGCTGACCCAGACGGCCATTAATCAAACATAAATTCGCGTCCACGAGAAAGTCTATGAAAGAGGCGCCTTGAGCGTTCAGTGTAGTGTCAATTACATCACGTTCTTCAATATTGTCTACTCCTTCTATGTAGTCTTTCTCGGATCCAACGCGAGCGTTGAAGTCGCCACATATGCATGGTGTTCCATAGTTTTGATATAAGTAATATTTCTCAAGTAGGGTATTGAAGAAAGCTTCTGCATTGGTGGCTCGCGTAGAGCCGGCTGGAGGCAGATAACAAACGCACAACACAAGATTGACGTCTCTCGCCGAGTTAGATGAGATCTTGAACCATATCATATCCTCTGTTTCTGCATCTAAAATAGCAACACTGAATTTTTCTAAAAAACTTGTTTTAAAAAACGCTCCCACTCCTCCTGAACCCCGTTTGGCCCTTGCGTTTACAGTTCGGCGATTATTGCCATACCATTTGTAACCATCAACACAAAGACAATCACGGTGTTTCAAAAATGTTTCACATAACCCAAAAATATCGCAGTCCATCTCATTTAAAACTGACTCTCTAAAACGACTATTATCATTTACATATTTAGACCACCCACAAGAGTTCCACAACCCTAGCCGCACAGTATCCTATTCTTTTGCTATAACCAATCGGTTACCTTGGAAACGTAATTTCTTGTTTTGACCACACTCGTTTATCACCGTTCGTAAGTTCGAACGCGAAATTAGTTCTTCTTGGGACATAGCTGCATCGACGTACACTTTCGCGTAGTCTTTACTGTTCTTCAGTTTCTTTTTGTGTTGCAATAACAGTTTTTGTTGTTCATGTGATTCTAGTCTGGCAACCACAACACCCGGTTTCCCATCACTCCGCTTCTTGCGTTCTGCACGCGTTGCCCGCACTGTTGTCAATTTCAGTTCTTCACGAATCAGTTTATTTACAAGCTGACAAGTAACGCTTGAAGTTTTGGTTTCATTTTCATCTGTCGCTAAATTTCTGATAACTACTGAACATTCATGTTCCGCCACTGGGTTTGTCCGTTTAACCACATCCGAGAATTTTAATTCCAGTGAGTTAATTTTGGTGTCAGCATTGTCTTTATTGGCCTTTATTTCTGCACGTACAGCAATTTGATCACCTTCAGTACGTTTGATTTTTTCTACTAGAATTGCTATCTGAGCATCAAAGTCACGTTTTAAAGCCTCAGTTTCCTTCTTAAGCGCAGCAGCAAGTTTTTGGGCCGCCCTATCTTCATTTTCTGACAACTGTTTCGAAAACTGAATTCTCATGTGGTCAATTGCAGCTAGAATGTCGGAGTTACTTGCCTCGTTACTCGCGCACGTATGTGTCGACAATTGTTCACAAGAGTTTAACGTTTCTTCACTGTTAGTTCTCGGTCTCTTTGCAACAGACGGCTCACAATTATCCCCAGTACATTCCGTTACGTTTGGTTGTGTCATAACTGCATCGACAAAATCACCCGCCTCGTTGATATACTGGGCCATCATTGAAAAGTTCAAAACAACCTTAAAAGTCTCATAAATGTCCAATTCGCTACACAAATTAATGTAGACGTTTCAAATAATGTTTGTTTGAATTGTTTGTGGTACCTTTGGTGATGGATGGCTAACTTTCAACTTGATTTTGAAACGATTTATCGTCTTCGTGAAGGGCGGTTGTCGAAGCACGTCTTCTCTCTCCAGGGGCAGGTAACTCTATCAACCTATCAACCATGCATCAACCTAGTCAGCGAGCCTGACCACCCGATCCCGTTAGTCGCCTTTTACGACAAGCATCGTCACCTTTTACGGCAAGCATGGGTCGAAAGTCTTATGGAAATGGAAATGAAAGTGTAGACTAGTTATTCAGGATGACATTTAATTCATAGAGCGCCAAACAAACGTAGAACAAATAAGTAAAATGCTAGGGTGTGTAAAAATATAATGCATCAGATCTTTGGTGATAGGAAATGACAATAAGCCACAAGAATAGTACAAACATTTTAAAAGGAACCTATGCAAGAGTATTGTGTTTTTTCTTTGCTTTTCCAACCTTGAAGAATCCGGTGAAAACCAACATTCACTAAACAAATGCTACGGTAACCCTGAACACGAGTATAAACAGGCTGAATTTCAGTACAACATGTTGGAATGTTTAAATATTTATATTATATATTATAGTGTGTATTATAAGTGTTTTTCGGTTAATTACTCTTGAACACCACAGAACCGATATGTTCTGGAAGAGTTAACCCAGGCAGGATTTGATGGTGCGCAGGAGCGGGAAGGGACCCCCAGGACAGGTGCCCGAGATGTCGTCTAGGGTGAGGGACCACACCCCGACACCACCCAGGTTCGACGACACAGCCCATTTGCACTGAAACCGTAATGGAATTAACAAGTCAACCTCTGCCCATCTTGGCTAAGTGTAAAGGGTTCGTGGTAAGACATAACACAACACTCAAAAGTACAGATCCATATATGTCATCAGCGGACATAAATGCTACATCAAGAAATCATCTGTAGAACAACAAATACTTCTGGATTCCAAACCCAGAACCTTCCGATACACAACCGTTTCATAGCCCTTAACTATTCCATCATGTTTCCAAGCAAATTAAGTTAATGCAGTACATATCCTTAATTGCTACCCGATCAACGCACGCGTCAATTAAGTACAATAACAGCAATATTTTGAGACCATCCCCAACTGACAATGCATGGGACGGTGTTAGGTCATCAACTCGGGACAGGTGTAGGGTAATTACCTCAGGTTATAGGCCATTTCATACATGCATGACAACACACGAATATTTTCTACGTTTATCATCATTTTACCTGTACAAATACATTTTAAGGGTAATCACAGTGTCAGTTAGGACAGGCTAGATTAGGGCAATTTGCGTTATTTTGATATATGCTCTTTTTATAGTCCTATGACTCGTATTTATTAAATGAAGCCCAAAAAGCAGTTTTCTAGCATTTCCGACAGTACTTTAGCACTATTAATCGGCATCAGTCCGAACTAGTACAAGAAGCCACACACACACACGTCCCCATATAAGTACAAGAATCTTGGATGCAACGTTAAACTCATTTCACCCCACCTCACCTCACCTCACCTCACCTCACCTATGTTATTGGTGGATTTTATGTCCAGCTATTGTACTCAAAAGAAGTTAAAGAAAGAATAAATAGGTAATGCTATATTCCAGCTATTGTACTCAAAAGAAGTTAAAGAAAGAATAAATAGGTAATGCTATATTCCAGCTATACTACTCAAAGGAAGTTAAAGAACACCCGATTCATTCATATTACTATGGTTAATTTGTCACGGCATGATCAAATATAGTAAGAAGAAAGAATCAGGTGTTCCTTTACTTCTTTTGAGTGGTATAAATCACAACGGTCGGTACATAATGGAATCTGGACCAGACAAACCAGTGGTTTATACCATGATAGACGTAACGCTGAAGGGTTGGATGAGGATGAAGTCACAGAGCCTGACCACCTGATGCCAATGTAGTTCAATCTTAAGACATTCATGCGGCACAGGGGGCATATTCTGACACGGAACGCGACACGTCGTTAGTTCTTGTGGTGGATTTTCAAGATTTTCATTCACGGAAAAAATTCGGTAGCACTGTCCTACCTTTCCCATAATGCTCTGCTCGTCGTCGTATGACACCCATGCCGTGTTGTGGTACAAGTATGGAACACCGGAGGCAGCATCCCAAATCCTGGTAGCCCCAGATTTCAGCGCCATGCAGATCTGGCAAAACAAGATGGCGGATCACTTTATATTTGTTTATTTGTTTGTTTGTTGTTTAACGAAGCACTCAGGAATATTCCAGCTATCGGGTCACTTAATATGTGAAATTTAGATGCAATTTCCTTATTCTGACGCATACTTTTATATTATGCTTCCGTGCTTGTTCAAGTGGATACTTGACTCGCCGTTGCGTGCGTTTGTCCCTTGCTATGTCCATTCTTACACCTATCAGTGCTATCACACCCCCACCCCACCCCACCCCACCCCCATTTGCCCAGTGTCCATTACCAATTACTTAGCTCTGTTTACTTACGTGCTGGCTTCCATTGTCTATTGCTAATCACCTTATCAGCGCCAATCATCTGTTGGCTTCCTTTGTTAGCTTGTACCCTTTGTTAGTTTCCAGCTTTTGCTATCTTATTAATTTTGTTGTCTTATTAATTTTCTTGTCCTTACATGTACATATATAAGCTCTCTGCCTCATAGCATTCATTCACCCGATGAAGGAGTAAGCATATACTCCGAAACGTTGTGTTCCTCAAAATAAAAAAGTTGACATCCATACATTCTCTTCCTTTTGATATTATGGCGTGAAAACTAGCTCAATCACTCCTCACCTATTCCTTCATTGACGGGACAGGGGGATTTTATGACGCTTCATACACTTTGGCATTGTCCGGTATTTTCGAGTGAGTCTCCCTGTTATACGTACGCCCTGATATATGTAGACACCGTGCACGTGTATTGCTGGTCCGGGGGCACCCCGTGCGGAAGCAGGTGCGTGCAGTCCGTGCTTGGAAGCGTCGGCCAGGGTGTAGGATCGCCCATATGTCGGCACACCCATCAAGATCTTGGACCTTTGCAGACCTGCCTTCAAATAGAAGTTCAGCATGCCGGTCTGAAACACACCACATGACGACGTCATGGTCGAATTCGAAAATGAAAGAAAATGAAGGTATTCACAAAATACGACGTGTTTTTGACAAAGTGGTCGTATCATATCAACCATTTACTTTACCACTGCTCCGTGGCCTAGTGATAGAGTCCGCCTGGCTAGCGGAAGGTCCAGGGTTCGATCCCCGGCCGCGTTATACCACAAGACGTTATAAGATGGTATTTGTTTTTACTCTGTCTCACGCTAGGCATTAAGGGGCTAAACAAAGGACTGGTCGGCTCGGAGTCGGCATACTGTGCCTGAGTGGAGTATTCATATCAAACTGCGGCATGGTACCTCAGTATGGTAATACTATAAAATAGCCATTAGTCCGGACAACAGCCACACACACAGGTGCATGAACGTCTCTACATATGTGCAATAATCTTGAACGCGAACTTAAAACCCCATGCATTATTCATATTTAATATGTACTTTATTATTGTTAACAATTTGATAATTTTTAAATCGTATCGTATATTCTTTTCTGACGATACACGGTTTGGGTTTACTAATCGATAATACTAACAATAATACTTTCCAGTACTTTCCACAAGTCTATATTTCAGAGCTGAGAATGGTAAGAGTGTCGGCTGGTAGAGATGAGATGCGGGTGAGGATTGGAATGGTTATCATGACGTCACAATCAAATGACATCACAAGTCTCTCTGCTACAGAAGCGGGTTAGCCGTACTTATTATCAAGACACTGGTTATTACTGTTTACAAGTTTAAAAAGTTGGAAGAATGGTTTTGGATGATAATTACAAACTTGTCTCGGAGTTTTAAACTTTAATCGAAGAGTGTTGATATATTGGATATAAAAGACTCGGGTGAGATTCGTTATTCCCACTGGACTATTGTGACTTAAAACCTGTGCACGGTCTAGTGGACTGTTTAATCTTATGACATTCATATTACTAATATTTTCCGTGACGATATCGATGTTATGAAACACGTACAGTCGACAGGTAGGTGCTCTCTCCCTTGGGGGCCACAAGCGGACTGTTGTAACCGGTGACGTTGTCTCTCTTGGCGTTGTAGACGTGGAAGTCATACGTCATCACAGTAGCGAAGTCGATATTTCTGGAGAAATCGAAGGGTATTTGTCGAAAGAAGTAAAATGATTTAATCTTTATTCTTGTTAATACGCACGGCAACCCAACCAACAAAAGAACTACTGCCAGGCAAAAGAAAGTTTATTTTCCTATTGTTATATACAATTAGTCACGGCACATACTTAGACATAATAAAAAATAGTCAATAATAAAATATTTCTCGATGTATTTTTTTCGACTTGCCATGTTATATTCTACAATATTTTCATTAATAAATTGAGATGATCATCAGGAAAAAGGTTTTTAAAAATCACATTTTTTAACAGAGGGAAATGATCAATATTTTACAGACAAAAGAGGAAAATATTTAATTTTGATTTTAAATAGCTTATTGTTTGTCGGCTTATTCTTTTATCATCTTGACCCGTGAAGATCCGGGTTAGAATTGGTCTTCAGCTACCCATGCTTGCCTTAAAAGGCGACTAACGGGATTGGGTGGTCAGGCTCGTTGACCTGGTTGATGCATGTCATCGATCCCAATTGCGTGGATCGATGATCATGGTATTAATCACTGGACTGTCTGGTCCAGACTCGATTATTTACAGACCGCCTTCATATAGCTGGAATACTGCTGAGTGCGGCGAAAAAACAACAAACAAACCAATTTTATCATCGTATACATTAATTATACCTCTACATCTTTTAGGAGATTTTTTAAATAGCATTTGTTATAATGGAAGGTAATCAGCTTGTTAAGGGGGGTAACTAGGATATTTTGCAACACTCTTCAAATTGCGTATAATTTGGAAATGTATTTGCTAGGATTGCCAGATTGTCGGAGCCTTGTCCCCGCTGAACACAGGCTGCCAAATACGTTTCTTGTCGAAAGCTATAAATTGTGACCTCGTCGTCTACGGCGCAGCAAGGTTTTGTCAAGTTGCAGCCCTTAGCTGTGTCAGGATCCTGTGAAGGAAGTTCGAACACCAGATATAACCTGGATATGAGACCAGGTATGGTTCAGACGAATCAGTAATGATTATCTGAGTGAAACTGGCATTATTGGACCAGGAGATCCTAGTAGGTATGTGTGTGTTTGTTGTTTACCGCCGCACTCGGCGATATTGCAGCTCTACGACGTCAGCCTGAAATTAATCGAGTCTGGAATAGACAATCGATATTGTGAGCAACGAGTGAGTGAACAATATTCCAGCAATATCACGGCGGGGGACATCAGAAATGGTCTTCACACATTTTACCCAATCGAACCCGGGTCCTCGGCGAGACGAGCGAACGCTTCAACCACTAGGCTACCCGACCCGCGCCATGGGAGTACGAGGACATCAAATCAACCTAGTCACAGAGCCTGCCCGCCCGATCAATTTGGTCGCCTCCACAACCACAGGTTGGTGGGAGCATTCTTACCCGGAATCCCCATTGGGATTCTAGTAGTTAAAGAGAAGCAACTCTATCTCGTCTTCTCCAGCGACTTCATAGGAAGCTGCAGTTTGTGGACAAGGTCTAGACTAATCCGACACACTAACTTCATGAACACTTACTGAGTGAGGACGGACATATCGTAAGCCCAACCGGCAATGTAGTTATTGTTTGTCAGGGCCATGGTTAACAGCAATGGTGATGTCCCGTTCAGTGCCGTCTCAACATTGGCAGTCTTTCTGAAGATCTGAAACAAAATCTCGATGAAATGTCTGAATGATATTGACCTTCACGCGAATTCATAGTCATTCATGTCCTCATTGGTTCATTGTTTCACTAAAAGCGGCGCCTGCCCGTGAAGATCCGGGGTAGAATAGGTCTTCAGCAACCACTGCTTGCCGTAAAAAGCGACTATGCTTGTCGTAAGAGGCGACTAACGGGATTGGGTGGTCAGGCTCACTGACTTGGTTGATGCATGTCATCGTATTCCAATTACGTGGATCGATGCTTATGATGTCAATCACTGGATTGTCTGGTCCAGATTCGATTTTTACAAACCGCCGTCATATAGCTGGAATATTGCTGAGTGCGGCGTTAAACAGCAAACAAACAAACAAAAACATCTCCGCTATTTTTGTATGTAACTGTGCATGCCAAATTCGGTTCCGGGTCCGATGTGTTAGTGTTATTTTCTATTTCGAAGTTGCACTTTTGTTATTAACCGTCATGGCGACCAACACTGCACTTCTGGATATTTTGATGTCAGTAAAGACTATAAGATGTTTGTGAAATTGCGAACTCATTTGGATTGATTAGAAAATCGGACCAAATATAACGTAACATTCGATACCTACGCATTATATTTAAAGAGTGAACCAAAGATTGTTTACCGATATAAGTTTCATATAGCCATCCTTTTGTGTTCTGCTCGGGAATTCCCAGTCAAAATCAACGCCGTCAAGTTGCAATTTCCGTAGAAATGAGACGGCTCCTTTTGCGAATCTTAAAGAAAAATACCGTAATAATAAATTATGTGCTAATAATTTCCAACAATACATAGAATTTATTGGATGTAGCAAAATCAAGGCAAAAATGATAGTGAAAGAATAATATAGATCCTCGTGGAAATACCATCCCCGATTATCCAGTGTATTTTATCTCATGATGAATACTCTGGACCTATTCGTTATCATTGTTTCGTATTTATTCACGAATAATGAAGGAGTGAGTGAGTTGGGTTTAATGCCGCTTTTAACCAGTATTCCAGTTATACCACGGCGTGTCAGCTTAATGTGGGAGGAAAGCCCGAAGTGATGCAGGTCTCAGACGTTTACCACTTCGGTGAAACCCACGAGCACGGGTATGGTGCTGACATACCGGGATTCGAACCCGCAATCATAGGTTGCCTTTGTGCCGAAGGGACGCAACTCTGCACAGCGAATCGCGGCGCCTTAGACGACTGGGCCACACGTGCCTACGATTAATGAAGGAACGTAGTGTATACAAACCCGTGACGTATTGACGATGTTTGCCTCAGATTTTCTCTTGCACATTAGTGTATTTTGATTGGATGAGTGAGTGAGTGTGGTTCTACGCCGCTTTTAGCAATATTCCAGCAATATCACGGCGAGGGACACCAGAAATAGGCTTCACACATTGTACCCATGTCGGGAATCGAACCCGGGTCTTCGGCGCGACGAGCGAACGCTTTAACCACTTGGCTACCCGACCGCCCCCTGATAATTTGACTGGACGGGTATGTTTAGCGCCATGTTACCAAGTTGTAGCGAAGAATTCCAGGGTAGTATCATAAGAGAATGGATACATACCACACTCGATAATCGAGAATGTAAAATCGTATGTACCTAGGTTAATGGAACCTGTTTAGAGTTACGTGGCAGAACGATACAAAAGAAACTGACACGGGATTAAATAAAAAAAACAAATGACCTTTTCAGCCAGACAGAACGTGCCTTTGATTAATGTAAAAATCGTGGATAAAACAGGGCTAACTTTGGGGGAATCATTTCGAAGAAAACAAGACAGATGACATATCCTCCGACCTGGTGCAATTCGGAAATAGTTTGGCTGCTTATCCCCCACTATAGAAAATGATGCTGTTCAGTATCTTTCAAAATCCCAAATAATCAAAAGGCACTAGTTCACCACCAGACTGATCTGTATTGCACGTTTCAACAAGAAATATTCATGAGTTCTGCAGTTCTGCCCTGGAAACGAGCACTACCCTCACTTTCAGTATAAAACCAATTTGTCGTCAAAAACCAAAACAATTTAATGAAAAAAATCTCAAATTATCAAAAGGCATCAGTTCACCACTAGACTGATGTGTATAGACATTGTCCTATTGAAGTATTCAGCGGTTGGGAGTTCTGAGTCCGGAAACAAGCATTCCCCTCATGTTCTGTATAATCCAACTTGTCGTCATGACAACATAACAAAATAAACACATACACAATCCAAATCATCAAACGGCACCAGTTCACCACTAGACTAATCTGTGTAGCAAGTTTCAACAAGAAATATTCAATGAAAATTTATATTTTTCCATTGTCATTTTTTTCAAACAAAACTAGTGATTCGGCAAAAACAAATTTCTTATACTGTCAACCCTGGTTTCCCTGTACCAGGTTCGATCAAACCGGACAAGCAGCCATGATAAAACAACATGCAATCGGAAAATAACACCTCACCTCATCTCACTCCGGACTAATCCACGCAGCCACAGCTACATACACAGCCGCACACAGCCACACACAGCCACGCACACAGCCGCGCACAGCCGCGCACAGCCACGCACACAGCCACACACAGCCACGCACACAGCCACACACAGCCACGCACACAGCCACGCACACAGCCACACACAGCCACACACAGCCACGCACACAGCCACACACAGCCACACACAGCCACGCACACAGCCACACACAGCCACGCACACAGCCACACACAGCCACGCACGCAGCCACACACAGCCACGCACACAGCCACACACAGCCACGCACGCAGCCACACACAGCCACACACAGCCACGCACACAGCCACACACAGCCACGCACACAGCCACGCACACAGCCACACACAGCCACGCACACAGCCACACACAGCCACACACAGCCACACACACAGCCACACACAGCCACGCACACAGCCACGCACACAGCCACACACAGCCACGCACACAGCCACACACAGCCACGCACACAGCCACACACACAGCCACGCACACAGCCACACACAGCCACGCACACAGCCACACACAGCCGCACACAGCCACGCACACAGCCACGCACACAGCCACACACAGCCACGCACACAGCCACGCACAGCCACGCACACAGCTACATACACAGCCACGCACACAGCCACAAACAGCCACGCACACAGCCGCGCACAGCCACGCACACAGCCACACACAGCCACGCACACAGCCACACACAGCCACGCACACAGCCACGCACACAGCCACACACACAGCCACGCACAGCCACGCACAGCCACGCACAGCCACACACAGCCACGCACACAGCCACACACACACAGCCACACAGCCACGCACACAGCCACACACAGCCACGCACACAGCCACACACACACACACAGCCACGCACACAGCCACACACAGCCACACACAGCCACGCACACAGCCACACACAGCCACGCACAAAGCCACGCACAGCCACGCACACAGCTACATACACAGCCGCACACAGCCACACACAGCCACGCACACAGCCGCGCACAGCCACGCACACAGCCACACACAGCCACGCACACAGCCACACACAGCCACGCACACAGCCACGCACACAGCCACACACAGCCACACACAGCCACGCACACAGCCACGCACAGCCACGCACACAGCCACGCACACAGCCACGCACACAGCCACACACAGCCACGCACACAGCCACACACAGCCACGCACAGCCACGCACACAGCCACGCACAGCCACGCACACAGCTACATACACAGCCACGCACACAGCCACACACAGCCACGCACACAGCCACACACACAGCCACGCACAGCCACGCACAGCCACGCACACAGCCACGCACACAGCCACACATAGCCACGCACACAGCCACACACAGCCACGCACACAGCCACACACAGCCACGCATAGCCACACACAGCGCGACACACAGTCACACACACAGCCACGCACAGCCACGCACACAGCCTTACACAGCAACACACACAGCCACACACAATGCGACACACAGTCACACACAGCCACACACAGCGCGACACACAGTCACACACACAGTCACACACAGCCACAGTCACACACAGCCACACACACAGCTACACACAGTCACACACACAGACACACACACACAGCCACGTCGGTTTATAAGTGCAATAATCATGGACGCGGCGTTAAACCCAATTTCACCTCACCTCACCTCACCTCACCTCACCTCACCTCACCGCACCTCACCTCACCTCACCGACTAGACTCACGTTTGCATGGCAGTGACTCCTCCGTCCACTATGGCAGGGAATCCATTTTGGAGAGATACAAGCACCTTCAGGCTTGGGTTGAGACGCTTCAGAGCAACCATCTCGGCGTACCTTGCGAGGTCGGAACTGCGTGCTGGAGTAATGCCATTCTTCGAGGCTTCAGCGAATGCGTACACAACATGCGTGCAGAGGTTTGCGGGAATCTTGGAGATCGGTACACGTGCACTCGGCTGGTAGTAGCAGACAAACGTCTTGCCGCTCGTAGCTGCAGACAGACGTCATTTTAATATGCTGGTTGACTGAAGACGCAGAATACATGCAGCATTTCAACAATATGAGAATCTCGTGGTCGAGGCAGGACAGACACATGATTTGTTTCAGATACCCATCATCAGATGATGCGGTCCAGCCATACATTCAATAATAATCAACCAATCATATTCATTATTCAATATCGTATTCATTATTATATTAACTACATATTCATTAACATATCAACGACACATTCATTATTCAATAATAATCAACCAATCATATTCATTATTCAATATCATATTCATTATTATATTAACTACATATTCATTAACATATCAACGACACATTCATTATTTTATTAACAACATATCCTTGATTATACTAATTACATATTCATTGTTATATGAACAACATATTCATTAATATAACAACTACGTATTCATTATTATATTAACTACATATTCATGATTTTATTAACTACATATTCAGTAATATATTAATGACATATTCATGATTTTATTAACTACATATTCATGGTTTTATTAACTACATATTCAGTAATATATTCATGACATATTCATGATTTTATTTACTACATATTCATGGTTTTATTAACTACATATTCATGATTTTATTAACTCCATATTCAGTAATATATTAATGACATTCATGATTTTATTTACTACATATTCATCGTTTTATTAACTACATATCCATGATTTTATTAACTACATATTCATGGTTTTATTAACTACATATTCAGTAATATATTAATGACATATTCATGATTTTATTTACTACATATTCATGGTTATATTAACTACATATTCATGTTTTTTATTAACTACATATTCAGTAATATATTAATGACATATTCATGATTTTATTTACTACATATTCATGATTTTATTAACTACATATTCATGATTTTATTAACTACATATTCAGTAATATATTAATGACATTCATGATTTTATTAACTACATATTCATCGTTTTATTAACTACATATTCATGATTTTATTAACTACATATTCATGGTTTTATTAACTACATATTCAGTAATATATTAATGACATATTCATGATTTTATTAACTACATATTCATGGTTTTATTAACTACATATTCATTGTTTTATTAACTACATATTCAGTATAGATCCTTATACCGTTGTCAAACCTTATACCTTGCTTGACAACGGTATAAGGATCTATACCGAAACGTCGCCTTTACACTAAATAAGAAGTTGTTTTACAGAAATTGTGTCCACTTTGTCACCCGTCAACTTCTAAGTAATGCCTATCAAACGATTCATAAATCATACCGGTAGCAATGGAGCATGCTACGAGAAATGCTGATAACCATACACCGCTCCAGTTCCGATCACCATGGTTACTGTAAAGAAAATACCTTACTGTAAGTGATCGGTCATATATTATTGGGGAGGGGTCGGCGGTGGCGGTGAGATTAGTCTTAGGACTGATTTTCTGCTGTCACCGCCCTACCCCTCCCTTCAATTTTATGTAACATTGTTTCGTGCCCTCCCCCCCCCCCCCTCCCCCCCCCCCCCCACCCCACCCCACCCCTCCCCCCACAAATACGTGAAACCGTTATTATGGACACCACCCCACCCCACCCCACCCCACTCCTACAGTCCTAAAATAAATTACCAGTCCCTAAAAATGTTCAATTATTGTATATTTGAAAACAGAACTTTTTCATATTTGCATGTCCCCCCCTTCCCACCACCCCACCTCTGCCTCCAGTGATGACAAACCAACTCTTTCACTGTGTCAGTTTCCATGCCCCCTCCCCCAGTGGTGTTACACCCTCACCCCCACCCCACCGATCACCACCCCCTTTATAATAGATTACCTGTCCCTAAACGAAAGCACAATGTTATCCACACTCGGGCACAAACTTTTCACTGTGAACATATTTACTTTCAGTTGTGTGAAATGTGAGGTGAAATTGGGTTTAACGTCGCGTCCAAGATTATTGCACTTATATAGCGACGTGCATGCACGTGTGTGTGTGGCTGCTTGTACTAATCCGGACTATTGCCGATTTATAGTTCTAGCAGTTAAACATAAATATTTGACACAGTACACTGATTCCGAGCCGACTAGTCCTTGTTTTAGCCCCTTAATGCCGAGCGCCAGACAGGGTAACAACAAGTACCATCTTTTAACGTCTTTTGGCATGAAGCGGCCGGGGATCGAAACACGGACCTTCCGCTCTCCGGGAGGACGCTCTACTAGTAGACAACGGAGGCGGTCTATTTTGTGTGAAAAGGGAGCATAATCACACGTACGTTTTGGACAAACATTGCTGGGTGTTACAGCACTGTAAATTGTACAGTATTCGATATTCCAATAAAAAATAGTTCTTGACCTTAAACGCGTATATATGCCATAATGCTGTACAACATAATGATCGACACTTAGTTGTAAATATCAGTTGCAAACAACACGATATCACGTGACGGAATAATCGTACGACCTTGCAAAATAAATGTTGAATCAGAGGTGTCAAGTTTTGTCAAGCATCACCATTGAAGGTCAATCGATATTTTAAGACACCGAGTAACATCTGCAACAACTAATGTGTAGCCACGGTTACCGCATCGCTTATCCATTCATTGTTTATCATCACTTCGACATCAGACCCGTGAAGATCCGGGGTAGAATAGGTCTTCAGCAACCCATGCTTGCTGTAAAAGGCGACTATGCTTGTCGTAAGAGGCGACTAACGGGATCGGGTGGTCAGGCTCGCTGACTTGGTTGATGTATGTCATCGTATCCTAATTGTGTGGATCACTGGATTGTCTGGTCCAGACTCGATTATTTACAGACCGCCGTCATATAGCTGGAATATTGCTGAGTGCGGCGTTAAACAACAAACAAAACAAACTCTTCGACATAATCTGTTGCAAATAAAAATAAATACCCCCTATATGTTCTCTACTTACATGTAGGGGGTATATATTTTTATTTACTGACCAATAACGAGTTCCTGTGCTACCGTGGCCTACGAATCGACATGTAAGTCTGCCACAAGTCTTCTACATATTTCACGAAACCTCTAACCCTCTCTTCCTTAATCACATACCGAACACATTTTGTCATCGAAAAGGGGTCCCCCATAAAAAACTGATGACAAACGATAGATAAGCGTATGAGGGAATACCGTTACCGCACGCTCGGGCGTCATGTCAGCACGTGTTGTATAAAAGATAGTGCAGGAAGGACTTAAACGTAAGCTTCTATTGTATCTTACCGTATTTTCAACATGTCGGCTCCTCGAGTGGCGTTGTAAGCGTAATTTCCTGAATGCAGCTGGGTAAATTGTTGGATGATCTCCGAATCTTAGGGAAACACTTCCGCGTTGAACGGGGGAATTCCCTGTCACGTGATTTTTTTGCTATAAATAGCAACTTCCGTCACATGGGAAGCTCCAGGTTACAGAACCTCCTCGTCTGGGCCCCGTTTCACAAAGCGATCGTCACGCTACGGCTGTCCTAACTTCCCTAGTTTAACATAGACGACAGTCGTAATGGAACGATCGCTTTGTGAAACGAGGTGTTAGCCCGGAATATAAACAGCAACTTTGACCATTTACTGAAATGATAAATCTTTTAAACAGCATTTTCCTTTCTCATTAACCTGCATATTTCCCCACTCGTCACCACTCGCATGTTTCGCTAGCCTACAACAGGGCTTCATTTGAGACGAGTTGGTCACGATTGCATATTTCCCATTAACCATTCTAAAGTTTGCTTAATTCAACAACAAATTTTTTTTTTCCATTTGTAAGGGATTATCAATCCCATAAGTATATAAAACTAATCCTCAATTAGGAGACTAAACGAAAAACATTAATTTATTTTTTAAGCAATGTTACAATAGGACTCAATTCGGCTATTTAACCATACTATGACTTGTAGGCTTAAAAAAAGGGGGGTACTGGCTGTGTGGTCGTGTTCCCCGAGTATAGAATATGATGTATCCTCCGTGTGGCCGTGTACCCCGAGTATAGAGTGTGATGTACCCTCTGTGTGGCTGTGTAACCCGAGTATAGAGTATGATGTACACTCTGTGTGGTCGTGTTCTCCGAGTATAGAGTATGATGTACCCTCTTTGTGACCGTGTGTACCGAGTATAGAGTATGATGTACCCTCTGTGTGACCGTGTACCCCGAGTATAGAGTATGATGTACCCTCTGTGTGACCGTGTACCCCGAGTATAGAGTATGATGTACCCTCTGTGTGACCGTGTACCCCGAGTATAGAGTATGATGTACCCTCTGTGTGACCGTGTGTACCGAGTATAGAGTATGATGTACCCTCTGTGTGACCGTGTACCCCGAGTATAGAGTATGATGTACCCTCTGTGTGACCGTGTACCCCGAGTATAGAGTATGATGTACCCTCTGTGTGGCCGTGTACCCCGAGTATAGAGTATGATGTACCCTCTGTGTGGCCGTGTACCCCGAGTATAGAGTATGATGTACCCTCTGTGTGGCCGAGTACCCCGAGTATGGAGTATGATGTACCCTCTGTGTGAGTACACACCCGAGTGATGTGTGACCATCCACCCGCATTCCCCGATGGACAGGTCTGGTCAGTGCAGTGTGTGTCCTGCCTGATTATTGCTCCTGTGCTATCATCAGCATCTAGTTTGAAATACGTCACAATTTGCAGTTGGCAGTCAAATCAAGAAAGTGACTTTTCAGTGGCAGGAATCAAACTGTCACGGAATGATAATTTGTTTGATCCCCCTTTACGCGAGAGGTTGTATACTGATTGCTGAAAAACAGGATTAATTGTTGTTCAAGAATACAATATACACATACCTACATTATATGTATTTAGAAGCTTTGGAGAGGCCACTTGTTATATCTGACTTTGATAAATAGCTTCCTTTTGACAGATGGTATTTCTAGATTTAAAAATCGATGTCTTTAAAAGAAAACTCTTGACACATGCAAGCGTTCAAGGCTCCCTTTTCATATTGTTGTCATATTTCAGATCGTTTTTACAAACAGAGAGCAATGATTTCCATGTTATAGAAAAAGTAAATGGTTGGTTGGTTTGTTGGTTGTTTAACGCCACACTCTGTAACGGATGTGACGGCGGTCTGTAAATAATCGAGTCTGGACCAGACAATCCAGTGATTAATATCATGAGCATCGATCCACGCAATTGGGATTCGATGACATGCATCAACCGAGTCAGCGAGCCTGACCACCCGATCCCGTTAGTCGCCTTTTATGACAAACATAGTGACCTTTTACGGCAAGCATGGGCTGCTGAAGACCTATTCTACCCCGGCGTCTTCACGGGCAAGAAAAAGTAAATGACATGATGACCAAAATTTATACTCGTAAGTGCATTACATTTGGAGACGAAATAATACTGCTAAATTCTAAAAGACCTGGAACGATGGAATATGCTTTGTATGAGAAAATAACGTTTTTGCAGAGAATAATTATAAAATTTAAAACGTGGCGTTTGGTGATATTTACTTTGATTTGAGCGCCGGCATTTAGCCGAAGTTCCAGTGCTGTCCAGATTGTTTCTACTTTGCTGCAAAACAAATGTTCAGTCGTTTATATGTATGTGTCACAAAGGCTACATGTATTGTTGTCTACATATCCTATTCTGAATAATCTGTTAGTAGTAGGTAGGGAGTGGTGTAGAATTGTGTATTGAAGCCATTGGAGCTTAGTATCTACAGCGCACCTAAATGGCACGCTATTATAGCTTGTCCAGTCTTTACTTATATTAGATATTAATTATGGTAAAATATTTTACATTTTATGGAATGTTGTTTTTCACAGTGTTTCTTGACTAGATGTTTGTAAAGATATTGAGTGCCATTTATATATTTCTGTAGGTGTTAAACGCTCCTGTGAAGAGTGTGCTTCGTCAATACCAATTGATAGTCGGCGAAGCACCTGTAAAATAATCTTAACACATGATTACATATCCGCATCAGCATTGATCTGTCATGTGAAGTACTCAGTGAAAGGCCCAGGGGTGGTTCGTGGTTGGTGGTTTTAATCGCCAAACCCCCAGCCTAACCCACCAGTATTCCTGTCATCCTCGTGTGATTGCCCCCCTACATCACCCCACCCCAACTCACAACCACACCCAAACCAACCAACACCTCACCCACACCCACACACACACCTCTCCCACACCACTCCCACACCTCTCCAACACCCACACCCACACCTCACCCACACCAACACCCACACCCACACCACACCCACACCCACTCCTCACCCACACCCACACCCACACCCACACCTCATCCACACCCACACCACACCCACACCCACACCACACCCACACCCACACCTCTCCCACACCCAACCCACACCATTACCCACGCCTCTCCCACACCCAACCCACACCCACACCCACACCCACACCTCACCCACACCCAACCCACACCCACACCTCACCCACACCCACTCCCACAAATCATCCACACCCACACCCACACCCACACCCACACCCTTACCCACACCCACAGCCACTCCCACACCCACACCCACACCCACACCTCACCCACACCCACTCCCACAAATCATCCACACCCACACCCACACCCACACCCACACCCACTCCCACACTCACACCCACACCCACACCACACCAAACCAACACCACACCCACTCCGCCACCCACACCCACACCCACACCCACACCCACACCCACAGCCACTCCCACACCCACACCCACACCCACACCCACACCCACACCCACTCCCACACTCACACCCACACCACACCACACCAAACCAACACCACACCCACTCCGCCACCCACACCCACACCCACACCCACACCACACCCACACCCACTTCCACAAATCATCCACACCCACACCCACACCCACACCCACACCCACACCTCACCCACACCCACTCCCACAAATCATCCACACCCACACCCACACCACACCCACAGCCACTCCCACACCCACACCCACACCCACACCACACCAAACCAACACCACACCCACTCCGCCACCAACACCCACACCCACACCCACACCACACCCACACCAACACCCACACCCACACCCACACCCACTCCCACACCCACACCAACACCCACACCCACACCCACTCCCACACCACACCAAACCAACACCACACCCACTCCGCCACCCACACCCACGTCCACACCACACCCACACCCACTTCCACAAATCATCCACACCCACACCCACACCCACACCCACACCCACTCCCACACCCACACCACACCAAACCAACACCACACCACTCCGCCACCCACACCCACACCCACACCCACACCAACACCCACACCCACACCCACTCCCACACCACACCAAACCAACACCACACCCACTCCGCCACCCACACCCACGTCCACACCACACCCACACCCACTTCCACAAATCATCCACACCCACACCCACACCCACACCCACTCCCACACCCACACCCACACCACACCAAACCAACACCACACCCACTCCGCCACCCACACCCACACCCACACCCACACCACACCCACACCCACACCCACACCCACACCCACACCCACACCTCATCCTCACCCACATCTCATCCTCACCAACACCCACACCACACCCACACCCAAACCTCACCCACACCCACATCTCTCCCACATCCAATTCACACCCACACCTCTCCCACACCCAACCCACACCCACACCCACGCCTCTCCCACACCCAACCTACACCCACGCCTCTCCCACACCCAACCCACACCCACACCTCACCCACATCCACTCCCACAAATCACCCCCACACACACACACCCACACACACACACACCCACACACACAAACACACACAACACTAAACCAACACCACACCCACTCCGCCACCCACACCCACACCCACACCCACACCCACACCACACCCACACCCACACCCACACCCACACCCACACCCACACCTCATCCTCACCCACATCTCATCCTCACCAACACCCACACCACACCCACACCCAAACCTCACCCACACCCACATCTCTCCCACATCCAATCCACACCCACACCTCTCCCACACCCAACCCACACCCACACCCACGCCTCTCCCACACCCAACCTACACCCACGCCTCTCCCACACCCAACCCACACCCACACCTCACCCACAGCCACTCCCACAAATCACCCCCACACACACACACCCACACACACACACACCCACACACACAAACACACACAACACTAAACCAACACCACACCCACTCCGCCACCCACACACACACCCACACCCACACCCACACCTCACCCACAGCCACTCCCACAAATCACCCCCACACACACACACCCACACACACACACCCACACCTCACCCACAGCCACTCCCACAAATCACCCCCACACACACACACCCACACACACACACA